AGTTAAGTGGCAAGTTCAGGGTTGATCGGACCTTATTACGATGACATATGGCCTCCCATCACCAATGATGACGCGACGGCTTTTCGCTTTTCACTTTTCACCGCTGCGGGTCAACTTCGAAGTTGAAAAGCAGAGTTGTTCCCAGGATATGGAAATGGCCATCGCGTGACCCCGTAATAATGGCTTCATTCCGGGGATGCACCTGATGTCCGGCATTTGGCCACCTGCTTTCTTGACCGGAAGTTGAAAAGTTTTGAACTTTTCCAAACAAGCTGAAAGAGTGGCGGAAAGTGCACACAAAAAAATTAAGCAATATATTATTGAATTTTTAAATTTATAAATATAAAGTGGAAAATTCGAAAAAGAGCATAAAAACTTGCCAAATGTATCATTAAGATTTATTATTCATTGAACTTAATATTGTAAAAGATTATATTGATCTTATTAAAGTTCAATAACCTATCATTTTATATTGAATATGTTCAAAAACCATAACCAATTTTGTTTCTATTATTTATTTATTATTTTTATTAACCCTCATTTCTTGTAAATAACTTTTCCCTGTGCGGGAGACTTCGTGTGACAGCTTAATTAAATGATATGCAACGCCTTTTCGAGTTGGCCAGTTGGCCGCCATTTTCCCAGGAATATCCCAGTCCAACCCCGGTGACCAGAAACTATCTACGCAATCGGTTTGCTAGGCCCCGGGGCCATCCAGCGGTACGCTTTGTTATGCTAAAGACAGAATTAAAAAAAAAAAAGAAAACATCAAATGAAAAGGCAACAAATTCAATTAGCAGACTGCGCAGTGATTCCGCCCCGGAGGCAAAGATCCGCAGATGCAGCTTCCACCACTTCCGACCTTGATGGATGTGAACGTTTCCCGCTGCAAAGAGGAACCTCTCTAAAATCAGGAAAACATTTTTAGGCGGCAATCCCTATTTTATATAAATTTAACAAATTAGTTAAATTAAAATAACCGCCAAAGAAAATACTTTTCTTACGAAGGAAACTTTCTCAGACAACGACCCCTATTTTAATTGTATTTTTTTACTTTGTTCACTAAGAGAACTCACAAGAAGCCGCCTTCCCGGTGGTCCAGCTTTTGATTGCAAGTCCTTGAGCCTGAGTCCTGAAAAACTGTCGCAGATCGTATAACACTTGCCAGCCTGTCGATATATAACATATTCGATGCCAGCGCGCACTTTCCAGTGAACTCTCTGGGACAAAGGGATCACTCAATCCCTCGATCCGGCGAAATAATGCGGGCAATCGCAACTTTCTTGAGGTTAAACGCAAGTTGCTCTCGAGATCCTTGAAGGACATTGTTCGGCGACTCGACGGCTCAGCGGATTTGCCCTTAATATTTTTCTCACCTCCAGGAGGTCCACTCATCGCCGGGCCTCTTGCCTATTGTCCCGTCCTCCGATGGCAACAATCAAAAGGATGTGCAAAGATTTGCAGAGACTTAGACTCGGGGCATCAAGTACTTAGGGGCCTTTAAAAAAAAGAGGAGAGACATACATAATGGTACGGGGAACACGCTTCGCTGATCCTGCGACGCGATGTCCTCGCCCTAATCGCTTTGGATAGTACAGACTCTGATCGATTTTGATCGCCTAAGAAAGCAATGAGACTCCTGGCAGCTGTTTCATCTCAAGTGTCTCTTAATGAGGTTTACGAATCGCATATTTTTTATGAAGGTTCCCAGAAAACTTTAACCAATCAATAAAAATCAAATCAGGGTGTTATATTAATTCCTTTTGAAAGAATGATTTCAGATATGAATTTTAAGTAGAGTGGGAATTTTGATAAATCAGAGGAATATACAAGCAAAAATTACTAAAAATTAAAATTGTACCTGTTTCCCTCATTATACAAATTGCTATATTATCTTTTTCCCCCTTTTCACCACCGAGACACAAAGTCTCAACCATACAATGGGTTATAAGTAGAGAATATTTTATGTGCAAATACATAGATATATATAACTATATATTCCTCTATTCTCAAATTATGCGGCTAAGCGTCAAAGACAATGCCGCCGTCGGTGTGTATGCAAATACAAAGAATTCCGTGGAATTTTCAGTTGAAAATTTGCCATTTGCCCACTAAAGTAAGTTAAGCGGAACTTAGGGGCACTAAGTAAGGCTCAGACCAGGTTCTGGTCTTGGTCCTGGCTTACACGCCGGTGCAGAGGCATAAGCCACACAGGAACAATTATAAGGCAGGCATCCTTGCCGCTCCTGCTTATCTGGGCGGCAGATATATATACATATAGTGGCCGAAAATTGATCTGGCGATAAATCGAGCTACTCAATTTACAAAAACATCGCCGCCGCCGGGGCTGCCGCTTTGACTTTTGCTGGCCGCAGGACCATCGCAGGATCGCTAGACCGCTGGATCGTCGTCCTGACTCCAGGTACAACAATCGGAAGCCGGATTTGGCAAAATATGGTAGCTCTGAACGAACAGGCTCAAGCGGATGTTTAATATTTTGGCTTAGAGACATTCTCATTACATTTGAAAACAACAGCCGCAGAGGCAGATCCTCGGGGCTGGGATTTGGGCATTTAGCAAAAGGGTAATCCTGCCCATTAAAATCTATTTGCATACTCATATTTTTGTTTCTCTAGGTAATTGCGCCTGGATAAGGATCAGAGCAGCACAGAGAGCGAGAGCCATGGACGGTGTCCTGTGTGGGCTAAGCTTGCGAAATGCGAGATGCAAGATGTGAAACCCTCTGACCTGTTGGCACACACCTGTCCTGGACGAAACCCGGAACGTACCCGCTTACGCGAACTGCGCTAATCGGTCGCATTCATTGAGCCCTTCTGCGGATTACTTAATCGGCGAAAATCTATGAATTAAATGCATCACCAAGAAATCCGCCAGCTTCCCTCACTTGTTACCAACCCGAGGCTCGATTTTCCCCAGAAATCCAGCCACTTGAGATTCGCTTCAGGACCGCGCCCTTTCAGTCCCTTCCCAAGAGGATAAAGCTTGCAGATTTAATGAAGTTCATCTGGGGCACAAGTCAGTCCCCTTAGGAGCCTCGCACTTATAATTCGAGTATCCTTGAAGATATTTTAAATATTTTTAAGCACTAGATTGAAACGCCTTGCAGAGACAGGCTTTAAAAATTTAGATTAATTTCTAAAAGGCAGGGGAAATAGGTTAATGTATTAGCTTAATAAACATATAATATAAAATACAAATAAATATAAAATGTACAAGTAAATCAAGTTTCAAATATTAACTTTTATATTTATGTTTGGATTTTTGAAGCATTTTTATTTTGTTTTTAAGAACCAACTTTTAGATTCTTTAATCCCTTGTTTATGACAAATATTTAAAAAGTATTAACTTCACAAAAAAACTTACAAAATAACCCTCAAAAATCTTTATTTTATGTCAAACTTTAAAACCGGTTCCTAAGAAGATTGCCAAGGTTCCAAGTACCAACCAAATTCCATGTCCAAGATAGCGCTAGGATAAAGACTTATTTTGTGTTAAGAAGGGGACATTATAAAAATCAAAAAGTGAAAAAATGTGAAAATCCTTTGCTCGAAGAGAGTGCAAAAAAATACCGGAGGAAAACTGCAAATTAAGACCCAAACAATGCAGGAAGAACAATGTGCAGAAAAACGTCACTGATGACAGAATGATGAGGATTAGGCCAACACACACGGAAAAAGGACTGCTGCTGCTGCTGCTTCGGCTGCTGTTTCTGTTCCTGGTGCCTGAGTCTATTAAAAGTCTAAAGGCAGATAATAAAGGGCCATTAGGACTTAAAAGGGCTCAGCGGCGCGGAGGGAGCGAAATGGAAATAGCGCAGAGTATAGGCGAGGAATTGTTGTTACCCCGGGTTCAACAGCATCCAGGACACGGCACCCAGAGGTCCTTGCCAAAGTCGAAATGGCAGCACCAACGAAGCATGCTTAATTCCCAATCCCAATCCCCGCAGGATGTGCTCTGCCGTGGTTGGATCGTACTCGGGACTCGGAGTTTGTAGAGAAGTTAGGGTAGGTTTTCAGTGGGTTTTGGATGTGTGTCAGTGGAATATACTCATCATCTCTGTGTTTGCTTTGGCCAACGCAATTTGAACAATTTGGCAACTGTGTTCTGTGTGTGCTCTTCTCCTCGAGTTTTGTTTGTTCAGCCTTTGCCGGGCGAAAAACTCATTTTCATTTTCATTTTCGTCCGGCTGCGCTGGCTATTGTGAAAGGATTCACATTGCCATTGTCCTCCGGGGATAGCGACTCCGACGATTCCGATCCACCTCGATCCAAAGTCACAAAAGTGAATTTTTGCTTTTTAACTTTTCGCAGAGGCAGCAGCGGCGGCGGCCATTGCAATCCGTCAAGGTTCCAAAATTAATACCGACTTTGGTTTGCTCAGGCGGAAAAACTATGCTAATTTTTTTTCAGGATCCTTCGTCTTTTGTTCTTGTATTTGCATAATTTATTTTCGATTAACTGGGTCGACGCTATGCGGTTGCTTTTAAGGTCTCCAAAGACACTACAAAAAGCATCACGAAATGGCCATAAAAAAGTATGATAATTCTGTGTGTAATCTCATGATTCCATGTTTGAAATAACACTTTCTAAAAGGGAAGACGTAATTCTTAATAAATTAGAGGCTGGGTAAATAATTTAAAGAGTCTTTGTTATTTTTAAGGCGTTAATTTTTGTATGAACAGAGTCCCTCTTTTGATTTATATTTACAACATAATAAATATTCAAAAAAAAACTGAGTAAATGTGTTTTTGTTTTATGTAAAATTTAATATTCAAAGAATATGACTAACACTTTTAAATATTTAAATTCCACTCTTCAAAATCGAGATCTTTAGTTAACTTTTCATTATCTGAAAATAAATAAAATTTCCCATCCAACCCAAGCAAATACCAGTAGTTATTCATTTCGAAAACCTTTAGGTTTATTTTGAAAATATAGATTTTTCACAGCTTAAAACTAATGATATGAACTTAAAACTAAATTGTTTATAACTGTACAGGAAACTAGGCTACGATTCAAGTAACTAACAGGCAAAGTTGAAACTTTTGCGTATGCAAATCCAATTTTTTAAGGTAAGGTAATGAGGTGAATGTGGCTTATGTGTGTGTTTTTTAAGGCTCGACTCCTGGAGATGTCCTGGAAAGTGGTGCAAAGCGCTTCTTCCGAGATTATCACAGTTCCCAGCACTAGGAAGGCACTTCGAGTGCAGATCAGATCAGGATACAAAGGACTCTCCTCAGATTTTGCGCTGGCTGTACATGTCCGAGATGAGGCGCACAATGGTAATATCGCCAATGGTCTTGCGGAAGAACAGCTCCTCGATGGTGAAGCTGGAGACCTTGTGCATCAGCTGGACGACTCCCAGCAGGGTTTGGAATCGCATAGGCTGCGCAGGATGCGTCCTCTGGATGTAGTTGTGCAGGGCGCTACGGGCATCGTTGTGCATGGCCGCCACCTTTGAGGACTCCAGCAGACCCTTCGATTCCGCCGAGGCCGAGGAGTTGGGACTGCCGCTGCCCGTGAGAATCGAGCTGTTGGCCAGATCCTCCGTAGAGCTGGCTGCCGGCGGCGACTTACGGAACAGGGAGATGGCCCTCAGGCACTCGTACTCGGTGCTGTCGATATTGAGGTGGCACAGCTGGTTGAGCACATCCTGGAAGGCGTGCACTTCGCGCGTCACCATGCCCATGATCTCACGATTGGCATTCTCCGACTCGTAGACGAACAGCAGCTGGGCAAAGTTCATGGGCATGAGGTACTGAGCCATGGCCAGGATAAAGAACTCCTTCCAGGACTCCTCCAGTAGCATCAGCTGGTCGGGCATGGGCAGTTCCGTAAAGGCGCGCACGCTCTTGATCCAGTTAACGTTCTTGAACAGATGCTCGGCCGCCGTCTCCTTGATGTGCTCCGCGGCCATCAGCGGAGGCGTTGGTGGCAAAGCCCTGGTAGCCAAGGCATTCATGTAAGCTGCCGTGGGCGAGAAGAAACCATGATGTCCCTGATGGTGACCCGGATGATGTGGCACTCGCGGCACGGATAGATCCAAAACAGCAGCAGCGGCGGCAGCAGCAGCTGCAGCCGAAGAAGGAGGCTGGAAGGCTCCGGTCATGCCAGGATGATGCGGTCTCTGCGGCAAACCAGGCATGGGCATGGGTACTCCCGGGAATCCAGTCAAAGCAGCTGTGTTCATTAGAATCTCGGCGGGTATTTGAGGCATCTCGCCGGCACCCATCATGGCATCCTTGTACATGGCCATATGGCGGCGCAGTGTGGAGTTCCTGGGACCCCGTTCATGCTGCACAGCATCCTTGTTCATGCCCACCTCGAAGCACTTCCTGAGTCGGCAGGCACGGCACTGATTCCGGTGCGTCTTGTCCACCACGCAGAGGCCCTGCTTCTGGGACTTGCAGACATATTGCCGGGAGCGGCGAATGCTCCTCTTGAAGAAACCGGCACAGCCGTCGCAGGCATAAATGCCGTAATGCTTGCCGGAGCTGTGATCCCGGCACACTTTGCAGGGCACATGGTAAAGGATGCGACCTAAAATGGCAGAGAAAAAGAAGGTATATTTATTAGTAGGAGTTTTAAGTTGATGTATAAATTTTAATAGATTTTTTAAAGCTTGGTTTTGGTTTTTAAATACGACTTTTTTAAGTTTATGACACCTTTAATAGTCTTCTTATGAATGCAAAGCTTTATTTATTTAATTTGTTTAGTTTCTTAAATTTTTTTTAGGTAAACTTACTCGATGCCGCTGGCGACAGGCGCACGCTGTTGTATTTCTGATCCATCATATCTGGCGAACCCTCCGACGACTGCATACCGATGTGGGGCGTAATTTTGGCGATTTTTTAATAACTTTTGGGGGTTAGCACGAGGTTTTTCTTTTGATTTTTGCGGCACTTTTTCTTTGCACTTGGCACTTGAATGAGTTTTGTAGATTCTTGCGAATATTGGTTGGTCTTTGAGGTATTTGATATGGTTATATCCTTGCTTGGTTGCTCCGATGTGTACTCGCTGAGATCACGACGGTTTGTGTTGTCTGCTCTCAGGACCGGCGGGCTTTAATAGTCCTTGCAAGCGAATCCATTCATCGTTCAGTCGATCACCCTTAGGTAGAGGAAGTCCTCGTTCATTGGTTGAATTTACGGCCCAGGGGTTGCTAACTCTCTGCCTGCCCAGCCTCGTACGCTCGCTCGCACGGTTGCTCTCGGGGAGAATCCTTCGATCCTGGCGGGCTGCCATTGCGAAAATTCATTGAGCACGGACGCAGCAGCCGCCGCTCATTCTCAATTCCCTGGGTTTTATGGCCTTTTTCCGCAGGACTCGCTACCTGCCCGCTCTCTATCTCTCTCTCTATTGCCCTAGCTACCCTCTCTTCTATGGTTCTCTGCTACTCCGGAGAGAGTCCTGCGACAGTTGTTAATGAAGACACAGCGGCGGGGACATCCTTATCCATATACAATCCTTCATGGCCGGTCTTTTATGGCGCTGCCATTATTGCCGCTTTGTGATTTGTGTGAAGTACCTGTGGGTTCGCTCCTAGTTATCCTGCCCGAGTCCTTTTCGAGTGGCGATTGACGAGGCAGCGAGCGAGCGAGCAGGGGTTGAATGCGCACTATTGATTGTTTTCCATTCAATAATTAGGTTTTTATGATGCAATCATATAAATGCAAAGGGGAAACTTTAATAAATATTAAAAATATTAATAGATTGTATAGGGTTGTAATAGTTTACATATTTGATTTTAATTATTACGGAACCCAGAAGCTTAGTGAAAATAATATATCGATACACTTTTAAATTAATATTCGAAAATTCCGAAGAAAACTAGAAATATAATCTCTAATCCTTACAAATTATGTAATTTGCTTACTAATTTCCTATAAAATTCATTTAATAGTATCCATTTAATGAAATGTTTTGAATAAATGATTCCAAATTTAGGAAAAATACATACATAATATAAATTAATATGCGTTGACTACTTTTATACTACCCTACAATGTGGTATTTTTAAACTATTTTAAATTTATATTGAAGCAAATTTTAGAAATATTTTATAAATTTAGTAAATTATGTTGCCTTATTTATTTTTACATATTTATTTTCTTTTAGATTCGATTTAACAGCCTCTACAACCAATGTATTATTCGCTGTGGTTGGTGAACATTTATTTATTAACAGAATTTTTGAAATATTTGTTTAATATTTGGTATAAGATTTGTATTTATTATCAAATTGATTTAATTTATATTTATATTTACTATTACTATGTATTACTATCTATTAAAAAATCATTTGAATTATAGCTTAAAAAGATATGGATAATTTCTTGTTAATACATATCCTTTTCTAAGATCACAATGTGCTTTAACTATAAATTATATATCAAAAACGTTGCATTTTCAATTAAATACCTAAAGTTAAATCGAAATAAGAAGATATAAAGATATAACTTAGTTGTTCAAACTACTCCCTCTGGTAAGCCAGCTTAGAGTTGCCTTTTGAGAGCCCTCGCCTGAGCTCGGATCGGATCGTCTAGACTCGGTTTGGCTCGGCTTGGCTTGGAATTGGATTCATGGACTCAAGTGGCCAGTGCCTCTGATCTCCTGAAACCGCGAGCGTCGGGCCCAGCCAAGTCCGGAGGACCCAATCCTAATCGCGTGCCGCTTAAGCAGATTACGGATCACTGATCACGGATCGCAGGAGTGCTGCCTGTCAAAAGGCTGCTGCTAGATCAAGCTTTCTCAGCCGAGGATCAGCGGAATTCAAAAGAAAGACATTGCACGAGGCTACTTAATAATGTTAAGCAAGATCCCGCAAGTCTGGTGCGATTTGCGGACCAACGCCTAAGGCCACACGATCCTGATCCCATATTTCTGCCCATTCCCGATCGCATCCCGAAACGTGGGAACAGTCCAAGGGAGAAGATGCAAATGCCAGACGGGACTCATTTTGATACATGACAGACACTTGAAAAGAGCAATTATATTTCGATTCGTATTACGGATGCGTAACTTGATCAATAAAACGCTCGACATGATATCATCACCCCGGGGGTTGCAACTCCTCGTTCTAATTGGACTGTCCACCCCTTGATGTTTTGTGATGATGATGTCCTATAGAGTCTATATGATAAGTTGAGGGTGGTTAGTTGGAACTCAGGTGTGCTGTATGGGAATGCGCTTGCGTGCGATGCTATGCTGATCATTAGCCCAACTCCCTAGGGGGAGGATGCTCTACTAAACCAGATGACGATGACATATCAATTCTTGGACAATAACTGACCATTCCAAGGGAACTTAATTGTGGGAACTCATGAATATTCATAGGCAAATGAACAGGAGGCTGCATCTCCAGCTGTCTGAACTTCCCACGCCAAGTCAAGCTTCACTAGTTTATAGTTTAAAGTAATGAATGATAGAGGTTATATCATACAATAAACGTTATAACTTTAGGAAGTTGGAAAATCGCTGCCTGCTGCAATTTCCCCTTTTCGATTTCATTCACTTCAAGTACAGCTACCGATCTTAATGAACTCGAAACGCCGGCGAGCTGCTAATCCGCCGGATTAGCGCTAAATCCACCACAAGAATTGAAACAGCAGTCACCGGCAGGTCACAATATTGCTGTATATGATAACCCTACCTGTGATCAGGTAGGCCGCCCACTCTCGCCGCCCATTCAAGGTCGAGGCAATGTACAAAAAAAGTGAATTAAAAAATTCCTGGAAAATTTGCGACTTTTTAGCAAAAGGGTTCTGCTGAGGATACTTCATTATTTACTTCATCTAGTTAGCACCTTTTTTGTGTTCGAAGAATGCAGGTAGCTACCGTTCGGTTGGCTTCGATTTTTATGTCACTTTCGCCTGGCGAACGTACAAAAGGGTTACGACGCCACACAACTAATTACACTTCGGGCTAAAAAGAAAGACAGAATGAAAAAAGGGTTAAATTTAGGCCCCGGGGAAATTCACTTCATTTACACATTGAAGGTGGAAAATTCCCGGCTCGCTTTTACAACCCAAAAGTTGCCGCCGTCTTCGTTCGTTCATTGAGCAGACCAACGATCTCCGCGAGGTATGGCCCACTTCTACTCCGACCCAATGGTTATGGCTATGGTTATTCCCCAGATCCGATGCCGTTGGTCATTATGAATCGCGCCAGACTTTTGATGGGAAAGACCCGGAATGTCATTAGGTGAGTGTTTTGTTCTAGTTTTATGGCTTGTCGCTATCTGGTGCACCGCCGAATGCGAAGTTGGTTGAGTTTTAGTCATGCTCGTGGCACTGGAGATTCAGTGGCAGTGTAACCAGGTTTAGTTTAGCACATAAAAGTGACCAAATATTCTGAAATTATATATAAGTTTGGGGGTATGAATCAATTCTTAAAGATCCTTAGTCTACGATTGAGTTAAGTCTTTAATTTAAATAAGTTTAAATGCTAAATAAATACACATGTTACAAAAATGTAACTGAATATCCAGAGACCCCTAAACATAACAAATAAAAACCCTTTCGAAAAACCCATCACCCAATCAATTTCCATGTCTAAATATGACAACCAACAATTATGCCTTTTTGGCGCCAAGAAGACAACAAAATACAAAGTTTTTGGCGCTGAGATTATGCAAATTCATCCAGAGACTACGGAAATGGTATCCTTTGTGGACGACTTCCGTCGGAGCGAGACAGCAAAGTTCATAAAAGCAAAAAGCATGTCAAATCCAAGCGCAAAAGTGCAAACAGACAGAGGGGAGATAACTCCGGGAACGAGATCCACAGGAAGCGACTTGGAAATCACGTCAAACTGAAGTGCAAATGGGGTTCCCATTATCCCAGCGGCAGGAAGTGAACTATTAGACCCTAAAAAAAAGAGAGACATAACTAGGAAAAGCGCAATAATTGAATCAGAAAAGTAGGGACGGAGGCACAGATAAGCAATCTGATCTTGAGAAATCATGTGAACAATTCCAAACATGAAATTAAAGTGCTCAAATGTCCTGGAGGACATCATCATGACGCAAGAGGAGGCAGGAGATGCAGGCAGAAAGTTGAGCAACTCCGGTAGGGATCCGGGGGATCGAGAATCGAGGTTCCCAGCACTGCACGTGCAAAATCAAATCCAGATAAGTTTCATATTCGTGGCCGCCACGGAAACGCGGCCAGGACAATGGGACACACCTCCAGGACTGCCGGCAGAAGATCGGCGACTCCCGACAACCCGATATCCCAGTACCCACTACCAAACCAAATCCGAATACGATGCGAAATCCTCCGCCAAGATCTCCGATTTCAGGCTGTTGAATTCCACCGAGTTTTCATGCAACAGGAGAGCGAGAGGAAACAAGTGATGAAGTCGCTGCTTCCATTTCAATTTCAGCTTTGATTGTTGTGTCCTGCACAGGAAGAAATATTATTTAAATGTGAACATATTAAAAATGATTATTAAATTATAAGGATAACTAGCAGAGATTTTTAAAGGTTATTTATTTTGGTTATTAAATTTTAATTGCTTTATAAATAAGTTTATAATGTCATATCTTATTCTAATATTTTAAATATACAACCATAATTAAGATAAAAGCTTTTAGAATACAAACAAAACCTTCAGCACATTTTAAAAATATTTTTAAAATTAGTTAGCACCTTTTTCCCCAGTGCTCTGATATTTTGTACCTTGCATAAGTGCCAGTGCCTCCGTTTTGAGTCTGAATCTGAATCCGAGTCTAAGGGGCCTTTTGTGGTCCTCTGCCAGAGGAGCCTCTTTGTTTCGCTCTCAACATTTGACAGCCAACATAACTTAAGGACTTTTTGTTTGCCTTTTTTACAATTGCGTCCCAGCTCGTTGCTGCTGCTAAGTAGGATGTCCTGTTCGCCGCTGTCCTTTTGTTTTTTTTTTGGAGATTCAGCAGATCGAGGACCAAAAACCAGGCCACGTCTCGTTTGCATCTTAAGCCCGAAACAAAGATTATGTCATACGCAGATCACTCGCCTGGCAACTGGAGATAGGAGCCGTCTAATATCGGGGCTTTGTACATTGCGTTACACACTTCTCACGCCCCGGGGGATGAATGTTGGCGAAAGTTTCCGATTTCACTCTCAGATATTGCGAGAAATTTTACACATTTCCTGCAAATTTCTAAAAGTAAAATGTGTTTATGTTTTCACTTTCCCAAACGGCAGATAGACGATCTACGAGGGCTCACCGGATTTATGCCACTTTTCCGGCTAAAGGTGTTTTATAGATTTTCAAAGATATTGCATTAGCAGCGGCAACTTTCTTTGATTAGGTTAGAAGTTCTTTATTTTCTGTTTTGTTTTAAATAAAAATACATCTAAGATATTTGAGAAAGCACTATGATTTGGTAGGTATTTATTTTAAATTTTGACTGAACATCTAAGAGAAAACTTTGGATTCTTTAAAAAAGTCTTAATAAAAATAATTATTCAATTTTTAAATATTGTCTATATTCTTGAAATCCCTCTAGTTTATTTATAATTGCTTTTATATGTTTTTTTAAAATGTATTCTCCAAAATAATAGACCCCTTTGTATTATATTTATGCTTTTATTTACAAACTCTTGTCTCCCCAATCTTTGATTCCCTTTCGGATTATTAGGTTTCCCATTGCCTTTAGCCAATTAAATTGATTTGAATTGATCGCATTTACACGAGTTCGTTAACCTTCAACCTTTACAATATGCCCTTTGCTCGCTAGTCATCATTATTGAATAACAACCATTATAGCCTTTTTTTCTGATCCGTGGGAAGAGCCGTGGAAGCTCAGGAATCTCAAGGATCCACGGCTGATTGAAATCGAATACCATTTAATTCACCTGATGGCACCTGATGCCCTAAGATTTTCCAACCGAGACCTTAACAATTGATTCACCATGCGGGAAATTCGGAATTTTATATTTTTCACACAAAAAATATGATGGTTATTGAATAGGGAGAGAGTTTTTTGAATAAATAGCGAATCTTGGAACTAACTTCCACGAACTGAAAAGAAAAGGGTTAGGGAAAGGACGAATGAATGGATTTCAATTTCTTTGGCCTTTTTTTCTGGAGTCTGAAGTCCTCGAGAACAAGTGGGCGATCAATCTAGCATGCGCAATATGCTTTTTGTTTCAGTTATGAAATTATCTATCGGCAGGAGCAGTGGCAACCCTCATCAAATTGCTAACTGAAGGTAGCAGAAAAAGGGGCATTCTAGCTTATCGATGGCTTTGAATCAAAAGATCTCGAGATCTTGGGATATGTGGAAGGCGGAGGAGTTGGAGCAGGAGCAGGAGCTGGGGATCTGTCCACAATGGACTACCAAAGAAGCGGGCCTGTTGTCATCGACGAGAGATTTCCATGGAAGATAGATTGTCAGAGATTTTTTTGGCCATGAATTAATGAGAAAGTTGTATAATTTAAGAGAGTGAAAAGTGAAGGAACAGCAGGGTATGTTAGAATAAGGAGAAAGTTAAGTAAAACTAGTATGTATGTAGTATGTAGTATGTTTTATATTTCAAGGTTGATACTTAAACTGAAACTAAATTTAAAAAGAACAAGATGAGCCTAAAAGGATCATCAATCATAATTGTATGAATAATTTGAATAATTGTATAAATTTCTCGTTTTCTAAACTAAAATGTTATTTAATTTCTCTCAAAATATGCATAGAAAAAATCTTAGAAACCAACTTATTAATTCCTCTTATAATGCCAAATACTAGGTATTTTCTAGTCTAAAAATCTCATCCTCTAACACACAACACTCATACTTTTGTGAATTAATTTTCTCGTTGATGTCTGATAATTTGTTTGTGATTTGTCTACCAATTAATGCACAGTCATGACTGAGCCACTGACTGACGGCATTTTGATTTCGCCTGCCATCGCCTAGATATCGAGTTTCAGCGACGTGGGAAGCACGCACGGATTCCACGGATCACGCAGCCCAAATCGGGATGGTGAAGAGGGCCAAAGGACCCAGTCCTTCGAGATGAAAGATATGCGAGATCAACATGTAATCTTTGGCATAAATACGAGAATCGCTTAAGAATAACTGACAACAACGGCGGCAGGACAATGAGCGCATGTTGCATGCCCGATCGAATGTCCTTTGATATCAAACGTTAAAGGAGCACCGTGCGGTACTTGAATTTCATTATTATACCAAAAAAGGTACTATGCTCCTCCATTGTGAGCTCCGTTGTCGAGACCTGTTGTGTCGTCTGAGTCCAAGTTTTTGTATTTGAATCTGAGTCAGGGCACTGGGAAAAATTAATTGGAAATATATTTATGAGGAATCAGTTAAGATAAATTATTAAGAACATTTTTCATCCTGATTTTATATTTTAATATTTTAAGAGATTTTTTTATCCATAATTTGTTATTATTTTCGTGTCATAAATTACTTTATTTGCTTACAGATGTCACTAATTATTTTTTAACCCCTCTTTTTTAGAGTGTGCTATAAGCAACCCCTTGTCGTGGTCCCTGGCTCTGAAGTTCGGCAGAATTTCGATGCTGCCGGTGCGGCTGCCTCGGTTTTTTAGCCGGAACGCACACTTCAACCCCTTGTTCTTCGGTCTTGTGTCCTGCCCCTACATCGGCCTGAGTCCTGCCTGCCCGCCAGCCAGCCAGCCTGCGTCCTGTCAACTCCTTTTGTCATCGCCATCATTTGCGGCCGCTTGACACTTGCAGATTAGTAAAGTGTTGAGAGATCTCCGAGTTCCTTTCCTGCTAATTGCCAGCGGACAATTAGTTCTGCTCCAAATCGATTGCAGGCTGCAGGACCTGTACTACAGGACTGGCACTCGCAGGACACAGGACATGTGCAATGATTTGCATTCTTCATTGTCTGACTCTCGCACATCTGACCCGTGTTCTTAATTTTTTTTTTTCTTGTTTTTTTTTCGAATTCCTGAATTAACTTCTCAGCTTGATTCATGACTTTTGGTAATTTTTAATCTGCCTTTCCGGTCTGCAATATTTTTTTGTGGGCGTTTTTCTGGCCCTGTTTCTGGTTAAGAAAAGTATCTTTAAGAAATTGGGAAATCGTATAAGGAGGATAATATTTTCTTCGTATGAGAATGGTTTCGAAAGGGTGTACTATACAAAATTAAATTTAAATACCTATGCTGGCTTTATTTTATTGTATTTTTTGTAAATTTAAATAGGTTGAAATTCAAATTCAACCTATCTTCTACCTTAAATGATAAAGATCCTGATAATATTATTTAAAAGTATTAATATTATATATTTAATATTTATTTATGTGATATTTAACTAAACTTTCTTAGGTTTGTTTTCTTTATAATAATTTATAGTAATTTTTCTTCTTCAATATTAACAAAAAATGGAAAAATAACTCTAAAAAGGTTGCATACTTTCAGGCTTTCACTTTAAACAGTGATTCCACTTTTTTTAACTGAACATGTAAAGTAAAATATGAAGTGAGGTTTTAACTGCAATTTTAAATATTCCTTATAAAAATACATTACAAATTACCTTTATTTATATTTATGTTATAAAAATAGAGTCTAGTGTACCCTGAAAAAGTAATAAAATATATATAAAAAATCCTAAAATAAATTAAGTTGCCATACAAAATTTATATACATGATTTTCTAAACTGCCTTAATCATAATTAAATAATTTCTTAACTGATTTAAAATTGCTATAAGTCTCTCAAATCACAATAAACTACTACTACAATATACGAAACAAACAACTTTAGTATAGTTTTTTTGGTTTCTTTCATTCTTTTTCTTTACTCTTCCCTTAAAAACTGATGTTCCTTAAATATTTCCTTATGATTTTTCTTCTTCATCATGTTGGTTATACTATAATTGATAAATTATAAACTGTTTTGCATGCCTTAAAGGTAGTTGCCTCTCTTGTAAAATTATTTCTTCCGCTCCATGCAACATTGTTTCGTGTTTTGCCTGCATTGCGTCCTCTCTAAAAATAATCCCAGCAATATGCATAAATTAGGATCCATTCGCCGTATCTGTGGCCGTGTACATGCTAATTATAATGACAAATCGGTCAATTATAATGCCGTGTCATAAATTTTCGAATCGCTATCGATCAGCCTCGCGACTCGAATATTGAATAAAATGGATCGTAAATTGTGGAACATGCCTGTTCACATGGGGGCGACTTCATTAAGAAGATGCTGCTGCTGCTGCTGGTGCTTCCAACTATCGAGATAATTAACAGGACTCTGGGACAGGACTACTAGACAAAGGACCAGATTCCTGTAAGCCAGATCAATGGGGAGCAATTTGCCAACGACTCAAGGCAAAAGTAAAGGGGAAGATGCGGATGTTCGAGGTAATACCTCGAGGCCCTCGAGATTGCAGCGGAGCCAAGCGGCGGCTGGTTGGATTTAATGAAGCTAGTGGACAGCCTCCTCGCAGCTGTCAGAATGCCCATTTCCAGGTCACGCCCACCGCATTAAAAAGCCACTAACCAGGACGTGGGGGCGGGGGCGTGGCAACGTTCAACCTGTCACAGAGTGGCGGTCGTGCAGTTTTCAAATTTATGGCCGACACGCATTTATACACCTCCCCCAAAAAACAAAAAAAGTTTCCAGCAAACAAAAACATACACAGAAAAAAAGTGGGAAGAGATTAAGTCGAGGGTTTTGGGCTTTTTTGCTTCGATTTTATAAAAATCAAAGGCTTTCTTTATATCAATTTCTTATTCTGGATGTTTATTCACAAAAATAAATTATAAAAATAACATCTGCTAATGAAATTAGCAAAATCATATATTTTCTGTGTGCATTACTGGAATGGCAACGTGTTTGCCAGGCATTCATCATGTTTTATTTCAGTTAAGTTCTTTCACTCCACCAGAAGCAAGGCGAAGAGAACTGTTTCGCCTTATAATTGCCGCACTTAAGCGAAGCGGCCAGCAACGGTATAACCAGTTCCTTCAGATCCAGCTCCTGCTCCTCCGGAGATGTCCATCAGGCAGCTGACCGCAGAAAGGGCACGGCACCATCCCCATCTCCAACCCCAGACTCTGCCTCTCTGGCATTTCGCATTAAATCTGCAACTGTCCCAGGCACATTCTCTTTTTTTCCCAATACCCTTGAAAGAGGTAAATGGAATTTCTTGAACTTCTTTTATAAATTGAAAAATGTATCCTTGGAATGTGATATTTGTAAGCAGTAGGGTCCTTAGTTTTTTTGTAGTTGATGGGAATTTAATACTGAGAAGGAAAAATTAAGGTAAATATTTTAAATTTTGTAATTATGAAGAAAAAAATAAATATATTTTTATGTTTAATCATTAAAAAGAATAATTATTATTATTATTATTATTATTAAACCGGATTTTTACAAAATACCTTTTTATTCTTTATTTTTCTAACATTCGCCTTCGAATTCAAGCATCTTTCTCATTAAATATTTCCCCTTTACCCTTTTTAATTAATTATTAATTACAAATAATTCCAAAAAAGGTACCTCAGCAAGTGTATTCCCTGCTTCGTTGCCCGGATGCCACCCAATCCCTTCGTGATCTTTATGGTCATGTGCTGTATTTCTTCACGCAGATCGCGTCGCCGATGCAGTAGGGTCAGAATCCGCAGCTGGGCCTCGTCTCGATCTCTGGGGTTTTGGGATTGCGTTTGGGTTGATTGCCGGTTTGCGATAAGGTGGTGGCATACCAAAGCCCGATTGTCTTACACATCTATAAATAGCCTGAAACTGCGACTGGATCTTGGACAGAAAACCTGGCACTGGCACTGGCGCATGCAATCATTAGTGGAAATTTTGCCTGGCCACTCTCCTGGCACAGGGTCCCCGAGGGGCAATAAAATCAGGCCCGGCAGACGCCTCACATATACAGATCCTATATAAATATACACACTCGTCCGCAGAGGAAAAGAGGCGACCGCAAGCAAGGTCGTTGAGCGACCTTCAGTCGGTTTCCCGTTGAGTGCCGCTGCTCTTGGCCTTTATGGGCTCGCTTTCAGGTCTTGGGGCAGATCAGTAAACAACGACAGCGACATTTATGGAAATGCCTGCTCTTAATTGGCCAAATGTGGCTCTATAAAGAGTCTCCAAAAACGGCCGCCTTGACTTTGTCACAGGTTCCTTGTCCCCCCGATCAGCGATCCCCAGTTCCAGTTATCCGCAAAGGAGTCAAGCTTCCGCGTTTCACTCGGAAGACTGATGGTCCTCGGGCAGGTTCCAGCTGCCAGGGTATTATCTTTATCCCAAAGGAGAAGAGAACAGCCCTTGTCACTGCTTATCTCAGTGATTTCAGGTACTGAGAAAATTAAGGGGAACCATAAACATTAAATCAATATAAAAAGTAGGTAACAAGGTAGAATCTACGTTCACCACAATTCAAAGTTTTTCAGTACTTAAACAGACATTAAAAAATGTCTAATTAGAATTGAAGAAAATATATAATTTCATTTATAATTTTCAGTGTAAATCTCAAAACAATAAGCTGCGATTCCCTGGCATGGACTGTCCTGCTCTGGCTGCTGCTTTGTCACTTGTTCATATCAATTAAATTTTAATGATATTGTCTCGAAAAAAAAACTACTTTCCTTCGCTGTGCCGCAGGCTGCGTGTTTTTAATCAATTTTAAGTGGCTATTTACATAGCGGAACAGAGGAGCAGGAGATCAGGAGCAAAAGGATCCAACAATCTGCCCCCACTCTGGCACAACCAGTTTTCCATATAGTTTCCCACTTCTCCTCCCCCAAAAGAGATTAATGCACACACAACTTGGTTATATTCTCGTTTTAATTCTCATTTATTTTTACTACACAAGTCACTTAGTCTCTAATTAGGATAGTTTCGCTCGATCTTAATGCTGGTAGGTGCTTCTACGTCGTCGGATTCTTTTATGGCAAGTTGCTAAGTCAGTGGAATTTCGAGTGCTGTCGGCTGAATAAATTAGGTTCGCGTTGGGTAACTCTATAGTAATCTAAAGTTACAATTACAATACCAACAACTACAATAAATTAATTAAAACATTAACTAGAAATTAAACAAAATTCGTTTACTGACTAAACACACATACACACAGGGCCGAAGGAGTGTGTCCTGGTCGCGTGGGAACTCAACTAGCGCTACGAACTAGGGGTAACTACGTGTCTATTTAGGCTATCTAGGTTATCTAGGCTAAACTAAAATACGACTTGGATCACATTTGAATGCCCTTGCAGCTGGCTCCTCAGCGGGGGAGTGCGGGGTGATGGTTTTTTCATATTTTTAACACTTGCAGAAACAAACTTTTTGAACTTGGAAAACATAATTTGTTTACGAAAATTTAAGGTTTTAAAAGGATATATTATGCTTAATAAATAATATGGAAGATGGGAAGAATTTAAATATATTTTTGAGTCATTGAAAATATCCAGCTTTTACTTAAAAAATATCCTTCTTAAACATCTTTTTAAATCAATAAAAATATGAAAATCTTCACCCATTAAAGCTCTATTTTCTGCCATTTTTTCCAAGTTTCAAAAAATGTATTTCTTCGAGTGCAGAGTGACCGCCATGGCCCCCCCTATTTGAGCTTGAGAAACGTGAGCAACGCCTTCTGAATCAGACTGCGATTGATGGTGGAGTCAGCGGTATAACGCACTCCCCAGAGGTTCCCATCGTTATGGTCCACTACTCCATACTCGCCGACAATGAAGCCGTCGTCGGTCTTCTCCTCCACTCGGTACTTGCGATAGTTACGTCCCTCGACCACGTACGCCACTTTGTCCTCGTCTTCGGGTGCTCCAGCTGCCCCTTCCTCGCCCGAGGAATCACCCTCAGATGTGGTCTCTCCATTTCCATCCCCATCCCCGCCATCATCCGAATAATCGTTGGCATTTGCATTGTAAACCACCGAGCCACGTCCTCTGTTGATGCCACGAATGGTGCTCGTCGTCGCTGGACCAGCTGGCGTAGTGGCCACTGCTGCAGTGCCACCGCTGCCACCGCCTCCCTGTACTCCATGGGCCCGTCCGTTTGTCATAACACTAACGGACTCCTCGATTTCGTAATTCTGCTCCGAGGTCGGAGTATAGAGCTCGGGGCGCTCGGTGGTAAAGTGTTGATGGTGCTGCGCCCTAGATGAGGATGGGGAGTGGGCGGAGTGGGCTCCAGATGCCACGGCTGAGGAGGATGAGGATGAGGAGGAGGAGCTACTGCTGGAGCTAGAGCTGTATGAATAGCCTCCGCCGCCGCCGCTGCTGCCTGACCCCGACGATGGAGATGATGATGGCGGAGCCGTGGATGCCGATGCCGTAGCTGCTCCATGTTGGTGTGCGAATTTGGCAACACACTTGACTAGATCTGCAACAAAAGATGATGTTTGATAAGTTCAAGATTAGCTAGCCGGGGTTCATGTGGGGCTTAGCCCGTGCGTTGTCGCTGTCTGTCACAATTCATAGGTACACTATGCCACAGGTGTGGTTTTAAGGAAATGAAACTATTTACTAATTAAATAGTCTGAGAAATAAATAATTAGATTTACTTTTGGCTAAGTAAAACTGATTTTGAGCTCCTTGATGCGATTTAAAGATATTTGCAATTATCCTAAACCTCCTTGGAATTTATAATGGCTTCTAATCTATCATCAAAGTGATTTGGTTAAACGTAAGCCGTGATATATGATTAATCTGCTTGAGTTCCGAAATTGATCTCTTTAATTTATGCAATTGCAACACGAGCCCTGCTGAGCAGTGTAATTTGCTTAAGCAAACTTACAGAGGAAGAAAAAGTTTTATATAATTGACTTTCTTTCAAAATAAAGATGTTATAAATATTAAATTGATAAAACAAATATTTTTCTTTTGTTTCCCAGAATACTATTAAATAATAAACATAAGTTGCTCTTCAAGGATAATCTGTACTAGTTTATATTAAGTCTTTTTCTCCTGTGTACCTTCAAACCACGCTTCAGATTCCGACTCCAACTTGGACTTAGACTCACCTCTGTTGGGCAATCCTTTGGCATTTTGATTAGAATGTTGATGCGGCAGTGATGAATGCTGACGTTGCTCCCAGCAGGGACGTGGCTGCTGTGGCTGTTGCTGGTAGTTTGGACCTGGCTTCGATGAAATTGGCTCCAATAGATGCGGCTGCGGTGCATTCAATAAATCATAAGGCAATTTATCCAAATTGAAGAGTACGCGCCGCGTTGGATGAGCTTGTGGCGGATGTTGCTGCTGCTGCGATTGATGCTGCTGCTGCTGCTGCTGGTAGCTGTGATAATGATGCTGCCAAGTGGTGGGCCTTATGCTGCTGCTGCTGCTAGGAGGCTTTAGTGTGGTGACCCTGCTGACCACTGCTGCTGCCGTTGTAGTTGCTGCTGTGGCAGATGTTGTGGCTGCTGTTGGCGTTGTTGCTGTTGTGCTCTGGGCCTCGCCGAAAGCGATGCGCGAGACAATCGCTGGTCGTGGTCTAGATCTGGGCGGCAAAAACGTTGTGGGAACCACCGGCTGCTCCGTGCTGGTGCTACTCCCAGATATCGGGCTGGGATGAGAAGTACTTCCCGCTGGGGTGGCTGCAGTGCTGGTCACTGTTTGTGGCCAGTAAGTCTTGGCGGGTTCTCCATAGACCTTCGAGGGTTGTCCGTAAACCTTGGCTGGTTCCGAGTAAAATTTCGAGGGCTGTCCATATACCTTCGAGGGCTCCGAGTATACCTTCTCGGGCTGACCATACATTTTGGCTGGCTCGGAGTAAACCTTGGCTGGTTCTGAATAAAACTTACTCGGCACACTGTACATTTTCGAAGGAACCGAGTAGAACTTGGCTGGCTCCGAGCCATGTCCATGTTTCAGGCTCTCACTCACATTCCTCTGGGCCTCGGCCAGGATGCCGCTCCTCGACTGCTGCCAGGCTTGCAAATCATCTACATTCTGGCTGATGGAGCTATAGGATATGGACCGAGACTGGGGTCCTCTGCCCTGCTTGGTGTCATGATAAATTACTGTTTGAAAGGGCAAACCTGCTCCTGCCCCAGTTCCAGCTCCCGTTCCCGTTGCCTCCTCTGTCTGGTTCTTCAAAAACGAATGCATTGAGGAGGCTGAGGCCGCTAGCAAAGGAGCTGCCAACACATTCTGTATATTAGAGGCACTGTTCAGGGAATCCCCTTCAGCATCCATGGAATCCCCAGCCAATCGGGGCTCCGTTTCCTCAATGGAAAGTTCACTTTTGTGCGAGCGATTTACAAAATCAGAGCCACTTCCTGTGGGACTTCCCTGGGCTTCCCTGCCCTTTGAAGGGCCTCTCTTGCTAGAGGAGCTCACACTCACGGCCACCACTTTCACCTCATCGCTGGAAGAGGACTTCCCCGACTTGCTACCTGAATTTGGAGCATCTTCGAGGAATACTATCTTACTGCCTGAGGTCACCAACTTGACCACCTGCTTGGAGTCTGAATCCTCTACAGCGGGATTGTTGCCGGAACTAAGGGAATTCCTGTAGCGATTCCTGCTGCCATCCAAACTCCTGCCCGTGGCCATTCGCTGGCGGGTATGAGGATTCGGCGATGTTGAGGCGGTGGACTCTGCTCTGCCCTCAAAGTCCTGTTCACTGCTGTGCAGACTTCGCTGCTGGTCATCGTGGTCTAGGAAGAGCTTGAGGAACTCGTTGCCTGCGATGAGTTCACTCTGTCGACTGCCAGGCAAAGGAGCGGGAGCGGGACGTGTCCAACAACCGGACATCATCTGGAATTGAGATATGAAAAATTAATAGATTTTTTTTTATTTAAAAATTTGCTTTGTCTATATAAGTCAATAAATACATTTAAATAGATTTTCTGTCTTTGATCACTGCCTTGCACATGCAATCGTCACCTAGGGTGATCGCATCCAGAGCTTATCTCAGCAATCTATTTATAAATTTGCGTAATTAAAATATCATTTGGAGCGATCGACGATCGATGCTATACTATAAATCCATATGTCTTCATGTCGCGCACAAATATGCATAAGTCATGCAATGAGATCTTGGGCTCGGGACCTCAACTCAACTCGACTCTACTCTCGATTTGAATAATAATGCGGCCGGGGTCTATTAAGACATCGGAACATCGGAATGCCATGGCACCGGCTCCGTTTGAAGTGGTGCATGTTGCTCCCTGGTCAAGTGGCGTATGTGGCATAATTAACCGCGTTGCGGCGATTCGAGAGCTCAAGTGGGTGGTGGCGTAAGGTAGCGAAAACAGCGATCGGACAAACAGTTCCAGGCACAAGCCCAGGCACTTCGCATCGGAATCCGTTCAAGTGTAAAAATGGAAACATTACTTAAACAATCAATCTGTCAGCGTGATATTTATGTTGTTATTGATTTGCCTGCATTTCCCTGACTCATCTCGACCTGTTTTTAAGGGCTTAATGAATAGTATTTCCGGATTTAAGGACAAGTTTTGTGGATATGGAACTCCTTTGATCAAGTTGCAGTTTTTAATTAATTTATGTTTCCATGAGTAATGATTACTGGGAGTAGAACAGGATTTAGTCATCAGTTCTTTGAGGCTTAAAGTTTGACTAATAAATTAAGTCATGGTTCCAAGGGGAAGTAATGTAGGGCTGACTCAGCTAATGGGTAAAAGTTAAGTATTTTTGATTTCCATTATATAAATTCTTGTTAAATGTATACTAAAATTTTCCTTAAATATGATAAAACATAGAGAAACTCTTTAGAATATAACATTATATATTCATTTATGGGTAGATTCATATTTTTTCAGTTAGCTTTTACTGTGTTTTCTTATTTATATTTTATTCTAAAACACTAATAAAATATTTTAGCTATAAAAACAAATATATATACCACTTCTTTCAGTTAACCTTCATAGAAAATAAACACCCCAAAGTAGATTTATAAAGTATATTAGGCTTACCTAATATAACCCATTAATTTCCTTTACTTAATAATAATCTACATTTACATTCATATCTCCGCTATACTGTTTGAACATTGCATTGCGAATTCATGGCCAAAGATCGGCCATAAATCGTTATCAGCGCCAAGCTCACTAACACACACACACCCACCGCAAAAACAAAAGACTTAGGGCACGAACTTGCCCTCCCTATCCACATTGAGCTAATAAAACATATTTATGGTTATATATCCAGCTATCGCTCAGCAATATTAGCATTGCTAATTGCATTATGGCAGATCATTTACCATCGGACACACTTTTGATCCACGGCTAACCCATTGAAATATAATAATCGACTTCGAATTGGAAAGGCGCAAATTGAAAACAATGAAAAATGGCGAAAATTGAATCGAATATTAATGGAAGCCGACGATGCTGAACATAATAGCATAATTATTCAAGCTCTTGGTAAATAAGCCTCAAATAAAAAATATAATAGAGTATAAATACACCCCCTGAGCAAGAACAATAACAACATCCGGCAGTGCAGTGGGCGCCTGTCGCCGGGCATTTTCTAGAGCAGAGCCGATCTGAGCGATTGCATCTACACACTCGCAGCTCGGAACACCTTCGCACATGTGCTAAAGTTACCTGACTTGACCAGCTCAGCCCAGCCCAGCCCAGCGGAGCCAGTCACTTAGATCGGTTAGTCATCCGGCGGGACTTGGGTCGCCTTGCCTTTTATGTCTAAAATTGCAGAAGTAACTGACCGCGGGCGTTGAATGGATACAAAAAAAAATGGAAAAGCGACAGTGGTCGCCACTTAGCATTGACACCAAATTAACGGCTTGGCTAGCCAGCGACAAAAGGGCTGCGTAAGACAAAAGGTAAACGTTCTAAAAATAATTACGAAATAATGAATAAATCCCAACAATGAGCATTCCTCTCCCATTGTGAAGTTATTCGAACCGCCTGGTCAGTGACGTGCTCCAGTTTAATGAATGAACACGGCTCGGGGATCTCTTACCGACGGGCTTCAGACCCATGATAGGCAATTATTAATCTTGATTGATTTATCACAACCTGCTTTGGTTTTTTTGGATTTGGACTTTAAGATTTCGATTGGAGATCGGAGATCGTAGATTTTTTTAATCCTGTTCGACATTCTTTTGCACTTATCATTTATCATTCGATTGTTGCACTGGTGACAATTTTCACGGCTGTCAACTTAGCGGAAGTGTCAAAAACTGCTATGTATGGAAAAATATAAAAAATATACGAAATACTTTCAGAACGCCAGCACCGTGGCAATATTACCTATCCGCCTTGTGGTGCGCGTGAATAGAGATCAAACAATTAAGCAATAATTACGCCTTAATGAGCACTCTCTTTATTGGGCTCAATTGTCCCACTCGATTGGCTTTCAAGTGCCGATCCACCACCAAACTCGAGATACTGGACACTCGATACTTTTAATTAGCTCCAATCATCGTGATTTCACACAACGCCACGAGTTGACAGATTGAATTCATGTTTTGAGTTATGCAAATTTCGGAAGTATTTTCATACCACTTGATTTGCCGATGATTGATCTGGAAGCTGGTAACAGGATTCGGCCAATGACTCAACGCGGGCCACGAACTTGCCACACACATTGACTATGCTTTTAGCTATCGAATGCGGAAAAAGTCATGTAACTTTAACATTTCTGCATAATCCAAACGGTTTCTTCGGGCGTTTCGTTCACTCTAGAAGTGGGCGGTCACCACAAGGAGCAGCAACCGCTACTGGAGCTGTGCTGCCCAGTCGGTGGCCAAGTGAATGTGTCAGCGAGTCCATTTTCCCGGCCTAAACTGGCCCCGGACAAAGTCTAATCTCTACCACCCGCTGTCGTCAGCTGTGGCCACATTGTGTGCACAATATTATAATATTACAAGACAACGCCAGCAGCGTTTTTTTTTCGGGTCCGCCTTCGCCAAGGCACTTTTAGAAAAATGGGTGTAACTTCGAGAAATGCTTGTAAAATATAAAAAATTTTATGCCTAACGAAGAAACCTATAATTCTTGGAAAAGTTTTATGAATTAGTATACAACTTGTTATATTTTAATTTCAATTTAATATTCTTATATAAAATTAACTCCTTTACTATAATTTCTCCCAGTGCTCCTATCTCTCAATCGATCTTCCAGCCAAGTGCAGCCCACATTAGGGCAGTGCCACGCTCAATGCCACTAGAGTTTGGGCCCAGAATCAGACTCGAATTCGCTCTAAATTGCAGCTATCAACTTGGTTCTGTGGCACAAAAACACACATTTATTAATTACATGGCAGAGACACACCACAACGAACATAGATTTGTGTGGGAAATTAACCCATGGCGGCGCCAGAACGTTTAAAAACAACTTAAAACCACATAAACAATACAAGTCATTGGTATAAATTTGCATGTTTGGCTCAATCATCATGGATGGACTTTGGTGGGTTAACAATTGAGAAGAGAAAAGCCGAGTTTAGAATGTAGTTGCACCACGGCAACCACAGCGGCCAGCACCACTCCCTGCCCCGCTGTGCATAATTTGCAAATTGCCGTCGTCATCGCCATCGAATGGCCAAAAGACGGGGTCTGAGTTTTAGTTTTGAGTTTCTTTGAGACACAAACAGAGCCACAGTTTGGAGGCACACAGAAAACAGAGGCCAGTTGCACAAATACACTGAGGAAAATAAAAGTAATACGAATTTTTAGGCCCTTTGGAGATTTAATTATAAAATTAATATTCAAATTATAATTTTCTTTAGCGTTTAAATGAAGTTTTCTTAATTAAATAATACAGCATTATTTTTTTTAATATTTTCCAATTGAGTAATATTGTTTAAGAGAACTAAAACCTTTAAATTTTTACAAGTTTAAGCAGTTTAAAGTTTAACAAACAATTTTATTGAATATTAATAATGAATTCGTGTCCTAAGACTTTTGTTTTTTTTAAGGATAAATGATGGAAATTGTGACAGAAATTAAAAAAAAAAATTTAAAAATTAATTAACACTAAGAAAAACTTTTTTAAATCAAATAAATTTAGTAAATTATGCAAAAATTTGTTTTAAGTGAAAAATAAAAACCACAGATCCTACTAAAAAATTTTTGGAATCTAAGAATTTAACACTTTAAATAAATTTGTATTAAAAATTTAAAATATATATTTTCTCATTTTATAAATCAATATATACATTTATATTTAATTTATATTTTTTTTGCATTTATTTATATTTTCTTTTAAAAAATCCATCATTTTTTTTCAAGGTACAACCAGCAACCGTCTGCATTTGAATCGCGTGCAATTATTTAGTTTACTCGGCTCCAGTTAGCTTTACTTTACTCCACATTACTCACAATCAACTCGGTCTGTCTAATGAGCAGTCAATAAAGTGCGGCCCAGACACAACAGAGCGAGTGTGTGGTAAAAATTAATTCCGAAATGCATTCAAAGCCAGCCAGCCTGTGAGAGCCGCTGCTAGATAATGGATGATTTGGGCCAATAAAGCCGAAGTCGGCTAACAAATGGAGTGCGATCGCACCATTAAACCATTTTTCATAAAACGCATTGGCCAAACGAATAGCTAATGGAGCACCGCCTGTGAATGCATTTGGCAACTGGTTGCAACGACTGCAACGCCTGTGACTGGATGAGGTCTCAATATTGGTGTCCAAAGTCTTTTAACCTGGGGTTAACCTGTGGAAGCCATTTGAAACAATTACGATTGGGCTGCGATTGTTCAATCGGAAATCGTGTGGAAAGAAAATGCAACTTTCCAAGTTGAAGATCAGTGAAAATTTTTCATTGATTGATTGATTGTTTTTTGGGTTGTGATGAAAGGCAAAAAGAGTTCATTAGGTGTTATGGGTAAAGGGGTTACTTCAAGAAAAATGTCTTTGAATTCTAAGAATACATATAGGAAATGCTATAAATACCACCCTTACATATCGTCTAATTACTCTAAAAACTACTTTCAATTAAATACATCAAATTAAACACTTGTGTTGGGTTTTATTTTAGATTTTCTTAGACCCAAAACTAGTTTAATTCGTCGGCTTAAAAGACCAAACTAAGCCTTGAACTTAAGTGGTCAGTGTTTTTGGCCAACAAATTCCCTGGAATTCTTGGCACACCTGACCATAAATAACCGTCAGCAATCAGCGCCTTAATGCGCACACTTACCAGCAGCAGAAAGGCGAATTTGAGGAGCCAGCAAAAGTGTGCCATGTCGGTTGATTCCAATCCAAAACCACCTGTCCACCAGTCGCTCCCGGGAGTTAATCAAGCGCTTTAGTGGCTTCTTTGTTCTGTTTCTCCAGATCCAGAACCAATCTGCTCTTAATGGGCGCACTTCCTCAGATGTGATTCATCTCATCTCGTGTGGACCATGGTCTCGCTCTGGGCCACTGTCGCTCGCGAATGCTTAATGGCTGCAATTAAGCGAAAGACAAGGAGCTGGAATTAGTGCAAAATGGTCAAGAAGTAAATACAAAAGCGGTAAAAAGTATAGTAACCCTCGCTCCCATGGCAAAATCATTTGCAAAAAACATATAACAAATGGCGTTGCGTTCAATCGATAAGCGATGGGAAATATCCAAGCCAAATGTCAAGGTGCATTTCACACCAGAAATCGCCGAGTGTCTGCGGCACTTGCAGCTAATTTCAAGAGTTTCAGCAAATTCCGAAGCCATCTGTCTACACTTAAAGATATGGAAGTTTATTTTTAGGTTTAAGGTTGCCAAAAAATTGAGTTTATAATAAGTTAATTAGATTACTAAAGTCCTGGTTAAAGCCATTTTCTTTAATTTGTTTATATTTATATATTATTAAGAAAGTGCTAAGGGACTCTTAAAATTTTAAAGAATCCTTTACTAAGCTTAAAAATATTAATTATTTTATTTTATTCATAGTTTTACCCTGTACCTTCCGTGCATGATTGCCTCTATCAAGTTCAAAGACAATTAAGGGCTAGTTCTTTATGTTTTTTTCGGGGTGTAGAAGAATCATTGAACTTGTATTGGCAACAGGTTGGCAACAGCAAACCGGCAACAACTACTAACCACCAGCAAGTGGCTAGAAGCAGCCAAAGTGGCAACAAGCTGCACACAGTCTTGGCCAGAAAAACAAACCGAGAGCCGACTGTCGAGAGTCTAGAGTCTAGAGTCGAGAGTTAAGAGCCAAGCCCAGGCCTAGACAGATGCTCAGTCGTCTGTTGCAATTTCAACATATTTATAATTAATGGCAAGGTATTTTGATAGCTTTTTGTTGCTGGTGCTGCCAGCAATTGGCATGCCATTGAAGTGATGAGTTTGATTTTGGCCAGCCATAATTTAATTAACCGTTCTCTGGCATTTCCGCCACACAGACCATGTAATTAAAAGCCAAGCCAAAGTCAAATCCATAAAACATTGAAACAAAAAAACAGCCGGGTAAGAAATCATATTTTTTGTTGTGTCTTGGAGCTAGACAAAAGCCGAAAGCGAGGAGAGTTGAAGCCGAAACCAGTTCTAATTCTTATCAAGCCTTCTTCACAGTCCATATAATTACTCATCCCGTCTGTGGATATATTTTTTTTATGTTAACCTCTTCTTCAGACAGCGTTCAATGGCTTTAATTACTAAGGAATTCTGCGGGGAAAACAAATATGTTTATGGCCATCAGGCATCTCATTAAAAACGAAAGTTTCGTTCTTTGGCTTAAAGCGGCAGCTCATTAGTTAGCCAGAAAGAACCTCCCCTCTTATTTAAGCCGGCATCTATTATTTTTTATTCTATACTATTCTCCTCTATTCACCTTTTCTGACGTCATCTCAATTTCTTTTTTTCTCGAATTTTAAGCCATTCTTTTGTTAGTTCTTTGGCCTTTTCGCGTGTTTTATCTTTGTTTGTAAAGATGTTCAAGAAAGTAAAAGTTGGTAAGGGCTTAAACGAGCAAGCCTTGCTAAGCATTTTGTTCACACATTTATTATCCGCAGTTAAACGTCTCTAAATTACAACTAGTCTTTAACTATCAAGCTGCACCCATAATTGTCATAGGAATTAGAATCGCAATCTGTTCTAGTTCTGACTTTACATGGAAGCCGGCATATATCACAGACGTCACTTGGGTTAAGGCCAAAAGCAAACTAAGTTGACCAGAAGAGTTTCTTGAATTGGTAATACTCTTTTGTATTATTTACAAATAATTTTGTGTGTTTTATTAAAAGTAATTAATTATTTTCTTGAAAGCATCATATTTTTAGAGCCAAACGAGTTTTGTGGTTTTGTTGGGAAGATGTTTAAATTAAAGAAATTAATGATGAGTTAAGTTTTATAGGCAGTTTGAAAAGGTGAGAGACCATGGAAAAAATAAACGTGTGTAAGATGATTATGTTGGAATAAAAAAATTTGTAAAAATTAATTAGTTGGGTTTTTAGATATGAAAGTGAAAGTTAGAGGGTTTTGTAGAAGTTGTAAATAGTTCTCAAGCCTTATACACTTTTATGAATAACTTGTTAATAAATATCGAATTAATTTATAATATTAATAAATTTTTAATTAGATAATTCTAATTCCCATTTCTATAAAGCGTAGCAAAACCCTTTCCTATTTATAGTTAATTTATATTCATTAAACCACAACATGCCCTTGAAAAAGTCGTAGAATATTTACAAATATAAAAGTCACCCAAGGGAATTTCAATTAATATAAAATTAAATAAAAATCAAACTTTAAATATATTTATTTATATATATTTCTTGATCTTTCAACTGATTCTTGAGCAGTATGGCGACCGCAAGTTGGTCTTGAAATCGCAATGTTTAATGGAATTAAAAAGCAATCGCTTTCGCACTCGAACTCGTGAATGCCCATTGGCGTTACTTAATTTGTGCCGCACTCACACTCTCAGTTAGCAGTTAGTATATAAATTAGAATGCTAATCGATGGCTATGGATACGCCCTGAAAGCGGCCAGGGAACTTCGACTTCTACTTTGGCAAGAAACTCTACATAGATCGAGGCGGCAAAGTAAGAACGGAGACAATGGCAGCTGACAGATTCCGGTTAATAAACTTGATTTAAAACCAGAAGTGAACAGTGCGGGCAAAAGGTAATGGCAAATAAATTGCTACTAAGTACCCACACAATGCATGGCAATTCGAGTGACACAAGACCAAACAAAAGGCGAAAATAAAATGTGTAACAAATGGACAAACGTGGCCCGCACCCGCAATTCACTCCAGTTATAGATTCAGATTCCGATTCCGAATCACAGACGGCGGACGAGACAAGTGTTGGACCCTGTGACAAATTGTCAAACATTCGCATTCTCATTCCAGCAACTCGGAAAGTGTCGCACGACGATTGCAATTCATTAACAATCGAAGTGGAGTCGATACAAAGTCTACTGGATATTCAGTACTCTTTTTTTATTATTTAGATTCAAGCTGAGTTGAGGGACGGACAGGCTCAAAGCCATCAGAAGAAGGGAGGAGGCCACACGTCGTATACGTTATGTTATTAAAATTAAAGTTGAGATGGAGAGTACAACAAATATGACAATAAGATATACTTAAGATGAAAAATTGAGGAAAATGGTAGAATTTAGTTCAAGGATGAAGAATTTGGTGAAATAATTATTAGAATATATAAAAGTTTAAACAAAGATCACGAAAATGTATAGGAATTCATTTAAATTGGGTTTCATTTGAGTAAAGCCCCTCCTAAAAATATTCTTAAAAATATTTATTAAGTTAAGTTATTTATTAAGCTAAATTTTACATATAAAAACAACATTTTATCTTTGAATAGGAGCCTTAAAACTTACAGGAGTTCTAACGAAATTGCTGAAACATCTTTAGCCTAATATAGGTTTTATTTTTAAAGCTTAGAACTCAGGAAACTCCATTAAAATATAAATAGAAAAAACAAAACAATTTTTAACGACATAAGAAGTAGTAAAAATGGCAAATTATTTTAAGAAATAAAAACTCCAACTCAGCGAATAAAACTTGTCTGCCAAGTTATGTTAAGTTTACGACTTTAACTTCCGATCGCGGTTAAAAGGGATATTAATGTGCCAAAGAATTAAGATCAGGAAAATAGCTAAAAGAGGCTTATACATAATACACCTCATTCAAATAAGGGTAACCTCCTTCAAGGGTATAAACAAGAAAAACACGACAAAGTCAATGCAAAAGCCAAAAACCCTGCCAAAGTCACAAAAACACATTCGGCCAAGCTCTAATTGGAGCATTTTTCCATGGAATTTCCAAGAGTTTATTGCCCTCCCCGCCCGGTGGCCGCTTGGGTATTTGTCATCGCATTGTTGCGGTGCAAAAAAAATAAAATAAAGAGAAGCCGAAACTTTGGCCAAAATAGTGCAATCCCAAACAAGTTTGTTTATTTTTTTTTTTGTACAGGTCGTGCGACTTTGAGGCGTTTTGTCAGCCGCTTTGTGGGTTTCGTTTTCTATTTTGTATTTCTCTATTTTTTTCCAGTTGGTGGCATATAATTTGTTAATCTGACTTTTTGCAGCCTCTAATTGTTTTGGCCAAAAAGCTTAAGCTACTGGCCACTGCAGGCCGTTTGCGCTGCAATTAAGCTTTTAATAATAATTTTGTTAAAAAAAATGTTGAACGCTTTGGCAACGCTTTTGCCCACTTTTGCAATCTGGCTTAGAATGTGTTGTGGCCAAAGGAAAAATTATATACATTATCGATATGAGTTTGATTTGATTGATTAAGGGTCGCGCTAAGGCTACGAACATGTTGTTTAATGACAGGAGTGTTTATTTAATTTAATGTTTGCAATTACTTTGAGTTATTTCAAATAAAACATTAAGACTTGTAGCATGTTGATTGAGTGATTATTTAGTTTTCTAAGAATGCAATGGTTTAGAATGGACATCCGGTTTGAATTACCAAGAATTCTTATTTCCAAAATATTTTTAAAGGCCTGTATACTTTTATTAAATTTAAAATTTTAAAGATCAACAACTTGTACATTTTATTATATTCAGTTACGTTTATAATATGCACTGATTTATTACACTAATTGGTCATAAAAGTAAACACCCATTAACTGGGCTATTATTAAACCAAACAAGTCTCATTTTTTAATCGCAAGTGATCTAAATTAATCCAATTGAGAACTTAACCTGAATGAGTCTCGATTCTTATGGGAATCAATTATGTTTTTATTAATAGAGTACAAATTTAATTATGAATAAAATTAATAGCATTTTTTTTGTTTTGTTTTAGGACCTCAGCCATTGCAAACAAGATCGTAAATTATGCTGCTGGTAAATTGCTGCCATTAATTTTCCTTCACCGAAGAAACAATCCATTGCACACAATTACTGCCCTTGGAGGTGGTGTATGTATATTGGAAGCTTTTCCTTGGCATTCAGCTGGCAGCGGACTTTCAATCTGACAAATCTGAAATTAATTCACTCCACGGCGATTCGGTATTATTATTATTTCGGATTTGAATGCCAGCGCTGGGACAGTGGGTCAGTAAATCAACTCTCAATTACAGCGGCCCGTTAATTATTACAGTAAACTCAAAATAAGCAGGGCGTCTAAATTACAGGGCCCAATGTCTGCCAAATAATGAGATATACCGTCATCTCCATACGCCATTAAAGCCTCATTTGTCGATCGACCAAAGCGGAGAGATAGACATCTCCCCTGCAAAAGAAATTAATGGTTTCAACCACGCCTGTCCATCACCCTCATCAAGCCGGGCATCGAAATAGGGAATACAGCCCCAAAACAAAAGATCGAAATATTTTTTATTTTCTATCATTCAAATTTTAAAAACTTTTATGATTACACTTGGGGTAAAAAAGGTGTGAAATCCAAGTAAAAATTATTTTATTAAAAATATATATATATATTTATACAATTTTTAATGTACTTAAAAACCTTTTCTGATATTTATGGCAATTTTTTAGATTTAAAAAAGATTTTATTTGAATTTGTCAATTTTTTTAAGGTATTTTAAGGAATTTTGTAGATTTTAATTATAAGATTTCTGTTTTAAAAATGTTATTATTAAAATATAATGGGTATATTATACTTCTATTAACTTTTTTATATAGAAATATTTCCGTTTTGTAAAAATTAAAACTAAAATTTTAAAATTTGAAGCAGAATTTTCTATCAATGACATTTTTTTAATAAATAATAATGGGTCTTCAGTTAAACATAGTTTTCTTTTCCAACTTAAAACTCTTTTGATTATTAAATTAGATATTTCATAAATGTGTTTTAATTTCCTAAAACTTTCCTTGATCTTAAATCATATTTTTAAAAATTCCTGTCTAATTATATCCCCATAAATTTAGATTATTTGTTAATCAAAGTGTAGCAACCACCAATTGCACTTGCATGCCAATACACTGACTCACATTAAGACACCGCAAGACTTTCATCCGTGACCTTGAGAGCTGGCCGACATATTTTTTCGGAACTGCTCCACCTTTTCGGAACTCCCCCCGCCCACCACCTCCGCCCGATTTCCACAATTGAAGACAAATCCACTTTGTGGTAAAAAAACAGCAAACCAAAAAACCAAAACAAAAACAAAGCGTGCACGTTGAGCAAGGCAGCTTAAAAAAAAAACAACAAAATAATGCAGAAAAAACTGTAACAAAAATTAAAAACACAGCAGCAAAAACTTTGAGTGCAAAACAAACGAAAACCATTGGGTTAAAAAAATGCAAAAAAATAAAAAAACCAAAAGGGGGAGGAGAAGGCTGAGCATAAAAACGCGTTTGCACATAAAAAACTCTGTGGTTTTTTGGCCGATTTTGAGCTGTTTTGGCCAGCCAGCGATCTATATAAATATATATAGATAGTTAGATATATAGAGAGGGATTTTTGTTTTTATGGCCAGGCATATTATTAACCGTTACTGCGGCACAGCTTACCAATAATGCACCCACCACATTTATTGCTGTTACTGGCTTTTAATCCCTCGTCGTCGTCGTTGTTGTTGTTGTTATTGTTGGATTGGATTTGATTGTTAAGCTTTCTATATATATATATATATTTTTGTTGTATTTTTAGGAGTACGAGTACGAACCGTTCAATGCAATTGTTGCTAAGCCGTTGATTTTTTTCGTAAAATTGGAGCAATATTGGCGCGCGAGCTTTGACTGCGATTTGTTTATGGCTCTTTGCGGATTTATATATTTTGTTTAATTATTTTTAATGGTTTTACACACACACACACATACGCACACACACTCTGAAAACGCTGTATTTAACTGACTTGATCGAAAGCGGTCTTTTCTTAAACTTTATTTTTGTATTTTTTAACAGGAAAATCCTTGATTTTGGAACGGTCCTTAAATGGGTTTTCAGCTGTGTGGCTCGTTGCTTTTTGGGGATTTGGCCTTAGATTTTGGGCTGGCTAAATCGCTTTTCGGCGTTTAGAAGTAGAAGAAGGGTGGGGCTAATGGCTCTAAACTGAAAGATACTTTCACGACCAAAGACTACGTGCGTTTTTTTTAAGCCAGTCTAAGGCTATATATTCTGGCCAAGTGTCGTGCGCCGCGTTGCGTCCGTTTGGCTACAGCGTCCACAATTAACTGAAATTCCCACAGCGATCAGAAATTGATAAGTGCCGCCGCCGCTGCTGCTGGTGCTGGTGCTGCTGCCGTCGCCCAAGAAAAGCTTCGCTCCAGCTCGCTCTCGGCCAACTTAACCTGGCTTAAACCCAAAACCCAGCCAGAGCCACATTCACAGAACGCAGCCAAGTGCCAAGGCAACAACACGAAAGGCACCAGGCAAAAGCACCAGCCACCACAAGTACAACAACTACAGGGCAGAGACAGGCTAAAAACAACTCGAGTTGCTCAGGTTTTTGTCTTATTTTTTTCTTCTTTTTTTTTGGTCTTTTGGCCGCAGAACAAACGGCAAACACAGCTGCTGCTGAGGCCTGACTATTGCCACCAAACAAATCCGCCAAATTCAACAAACAAATGGACCCGAAAGACGTTCTCTCGCAGAAAACTTTGCACATTTTCAAAACTAGTATCACAGAGCCTAGCATAAGCTTGAAGTCCACTAGATTTAAACCAAAACAATCGCTTTAGATGGACTTTAATTGTTTTTGATGGAGTTTTAGCATCTCATTTATATAATTTTTTTAAATTTTTTTAATTTAAAGTACTTAATAATGTTGTTTTTGACCTGTCTATATACCTCTTTTATCTTTTTTTAGAGTTACTTTTTTTATTTAAACAAATATTTAAACAAGATCAAATCATTTGTTGGTTTTACACAAAAGCTCACCTGCCTTTTTACATTGTTTATTTTTAAACATTTTACTTGAAGTTGTTTTTGTTTTTATTTACACATTTTAAACTTGTGTCTTGCAAATATCATTGACTAGAGCTTGAGGTCCAAGGGGTTTTAAAAGTATAATTGTTGTTATTAGTTCTTAATCACGATTTTTAAGAGTTGTTAGTCATTTTTAAATGATTAAATAAGTATATTTTCTGCACAGTAATTTTAAAATTAAATTTATTAGGCCTTTCTAAACACAAATAAAATATGAAAAAGCTTCAAAAAAATGCATTTATACTTATAAATTCTACTTTCATTTTTTACTTTACTAGTAAAGACACTAACCCAAGTTGATAACTTGGCTTCAATTTTTTAGTAATGCTATTTTAGCTATTTTTAAATATTTATATATGTATATATGCGAGAAATAGCCTCCTTTAAAATCAGGGTTTATTCTTTAGATTTTCCAATTTAAATTATTAGCTTGACTTTATACAAAAACACAAAAATTATGGCTTTAAAAAAGGCTTACAGGAAAATTAGGAAATTAAATAGCCCTTCTTGGTGAGCATCCATTATTATTATTCATTTGTATTATTATTAAATTTTTTATAATTATAAAAACTATAAGGATAAAGCTTACTTCGAGAAGCTATAATTGAGCAACAATTTGTTTTAAAATAAAAATTTTTAAATTTTGTTTTGCAATCCTAAAATAACCAATAATAATTAAGTTATATAAAATGGGAAATATAAAATATAAGCAATTTTTTAAAAACAGTTTTCTGTAAAAATAAAACTAGGTCCGAGAGTTATGTGGATTTTAATGATATTACAATACGTATTTTCTTTTCAATTTGCAATTTTCTGAAAAATAAAAGAATAATATTAAAAACCAATAAATATCTTAGCCATGAGACTACAACTAATACCAAGTATCAATCGCAGCTATAATTTTAAGGTTCCCCTAAACCAGCAGCAAAATTCAATATAAACCAAGGCTCAACTAACCCTTCTCTTTTTTTTTACTATATTAAAATTTAAAGGAAAATCAAGCCAAAAACTACCACTTGTTTTTTCTAATTAAGAAATCTTTATTTCATATGTATTTCCCATATTCAATTTACAATTATATTTACACTTTAAGCGGTACAAAAAAGGCGAAACATATTTTGCTAACAATCGGGGAGAATTGCGGGAATCGCTAGCTAAGCAGATTTGATTTGATTAGACTACAGTTAGCAGATGTTTAAGCAGGAGGCTTATCACAAAAGAAAAGAGTAATACATTCTGTACAGGATATATAATCTTCTCTAGCCGAAAACAATTAATAATGAACTGCGATCTCCTTCGGATCGATTAGAACATCCAATTGTCGAACTTCCCGCGACGCGTTTGCTTGCTGTAGATAGATAGATTGTATCAAAAAGGGTTAGTATACATTTATCCTGTATAAGATATGTGGAATTCTCTATATGGCTATCTATCTAAATCAGTCAGTTAGGGAAATAATAAAGAACAACACAAACACATTGAAGTAAGAAAATCAAAGAAAGGCATTCAGAAAACATTGAAATATTTATTTTGCATTATTTATTGGATATTGCTTAAGTTTTAGGCATCATTTGTATATATTTCTCTCTCTCTCTCGTTTAGTATATAGTTTATAGTACAGTTTTACTCATAACTTTAATACACATCTTTAAAAAATAATCCATAAATTGTATATAAACAAAACAAATCGCAATCGAAACGAAGCGTTCAGTTAAAAGAAATCACACACAATGTCATCTTCTTCTGCTTCTGTTCTTCGCTCTCCGAATGTACGAATGTATAAAAAATACTTATCGAAATTATTATATATATGTATCAGATATACAAGGATTATATCAGTGGGGGAATGGAATACAGAAAGAATTAGCGCAAATACGAAACGAATACGATTTTGGCATGCAAAAACCGATTGATCGCAACACACCAGTTCTGGGATAGTAGTTCATTCTGGATATATGTATGTATATGTAAGTACAGAACACACAGAGCACAGATATTTGGGATTGTCTTGGGTTCGGTCATCTACGTTCTACGTTCTATGGGCCTGGGAATGTAGAGTTTCTTTAGCACGCTAAAAAACAAATCAAGGACTCAAGCTAGGCTAAAAGGCTCAAACTTGCGTCACGCACTGCGCATATTTGTCCAGCTCGCTCCTCAGTATCTTCACGCGCTCCGCCTCGGACTTGAGGGCATTCACCAGCTCTTCGATGGTCCGCTGTTGATTTTGCACCAATCCCTCCAGCTTTTCCACCCTTTGCTCCAACTGGTTAACCCTCGCAGATCCACTAGAGCCATCCTGATGGTGGTTATTAAGTCCTTGGCTGGGCTTCTCCTCCTGTGACTGCGAACTGCTGGCATTGGAGCTTTTGACCAGCGGCGAAACACTCCGCTGATTCCTTATGGACAGACTGTTTGGCCGCGTGGCCTTTGTCTCCTCATCGCTACTGGCCGCTGTGGCTGCCTTGGCAGCGGCAGTTAGGCTGCGGGACATGATGGCATCGTTGGTGGTTGTGGAAGTGGTGGTGCTGCTGCTGGTTGAATTCTCCACATACATGGAGGATGTCACCGCCGAGGATTGCACTTTCGTGGTGGTACTGCTGCTGCTACTGCTGCTGATTATAGCCTGATCAGCGGCAAAGAGCTTGGATGTCCGCTCGGCCACCGAGGCTCCGCGTGGCTCTACACTGGGCGAGGTCTTCTTTCGCGTGACCTGCGAGGCCTTGAGCTCCTCCATCCAAGGAGCCTTCTTCTTTTCCCACTCGCGTGGCTTGGGCTTGGCCAGCTGTGGCTCTTCGCCTGTTGAATTGTCATCGGAGGAGGCTGTTGCTGCCGTGGCCTTTCCACCCGCTCCTCCATCTTCGCTCAGTTCGCTGGCACTTCCAGCTCCGCCACCGGCTCCAGCCATACCGCTGCCGTTGACATACACCGAGTTATTATTGCTCTCCCCCAAAACATTGATGGCCGCCGAAGGAGGTCGTCGCTTCGGGGCCTTAACCCGGCCCTGTCGCATATCCGTGAGGATTGAGGACCGCTCCACGCGATCAAAGTCTGTGTCCTCCACAGCTATGGTGGCTGCCCTTCGCATCACCAGGTTACCAGCTGCTCCGGCGTCTGGAAGTTGGTTTGATCCTGTGAGCATCTTACTGGCCGTAAGACCATCTGCCAGGTCATGGGAAACGGCACTGGTGAGCTTTCCATCGGGATTCTTCTTTTTGCCGCCAAGAAGATTACCTGAGGATAAAAATGGTATGATTAATAACGATTTTTATATGTTTAATATTGCTTTGTGCTGCATTGCTTTGGCATCGATAAGATATCACCAAACCATAAATTCCGGAAGTCATTATCAAAAGCGTAAATGAGTTAATTCCTGGAAATATCTTTCGCAATTCTTTAAGCCATAAGCAATGCATCATAAGACCCTCAAAGTACAGTACTCACCTGCCACAGGTACACCACCAGTGGGTGTCTTCTTGAGCGGCACACTTGGCTTCTTGCTCAGCACCGGCGGTGGCGGTGATTTCACCTTCTCATCCATATTCTCCAGACTCTTGTTAAGCGCCGAAGCCACCAATCCCGCTGTTACCGTGCCCGAGGTATTGCTGGTACTGTTCCTCTGCTGACTAACGGCAGCTGTTGCACCCGGCGGTTTGGTCAGGTCAAGGTTCTTGTTCTCCAGCGACTTGCGCTGGGCAGCCACATTGCCGGTGGGCAGACCCGTCTCGCTCAGGATGTCGTTAAGGGAATCTCGAGAGCCAAAGCTCTCCTTGCGACCCGCCGACGACGATGAAGAGGCGTTGGTGGTGGTGCTGCTTGTGGTGCTATTGCTGCTGCTGCCCGTCTTCTTGATGTACACCTTCGATGTGGTGGATGAGCTGCCGCCAACCTGATCGCGCTGCTCCTTCTGCTGTTGCTGCGAGGTCACCGTGGTGGTGCTGGAGTTGCTCGAATTCGTCGTGGTCATGTGGCTGGTGGTGCTGTTGGCAGTACTATTGATGTTCCCGATCTTCCGCTGCGTCTGCGGCTGCGTCGTGGCAACTGGCGGCTCGTTGATGGGGGCAACTGCAAAACGGTAAACAGAGTCACGGATTAGAGTCGGTGGACACAATTAGCACCTGTAAATTGGCATGCAAACGTTTCAGTTTTATTTACCAACAGTGGATATCGGCTAGCAGACACGGACAGATGCCTGACCTGAATGTGAACCAATTAATGTTTGTTAATTTTGTCTTTAAAAAAATCCCCTTGTTGAAAATTAAAACTTTGCCGAATTTTATTATATAAATTGTGGCCTTGGACATGAGTAAAATTTATTAATAATATTTTTAAATAATAGGAGATTCCACTAAATTAGCTAGTTAGTTTTATTTCAATTTTAATTGTGTTCAAAAATATAAAAAAAATATTAAACTGGAGTAAACTGAATTATGAAACTAATTAATTTTCAATTTTTCAATTAAACGTTAAACCTATACAATTAAATTTAATCTTCGCTTAAGTTAGCAGAATATCGTTAAAAATATTTCCAAATAAATAAATAAATAAATTGATATTGATATTTTTAAGTTTAAAGTAAAATTTATAAAAACCTTTAAAATGTGGTTTCCATGCAATTTTTTAAAATAAAAGCTTTAAAAAATGTATAAAAAAACGCTTTAAATCAGGATAATAAAAACCCCTTTTTATTATATATTTCTTTAAAAAAAAGTGCTAATTTAATTTATATTTATTCTTCATTTATATCTCCCTCTACCGATATCCACTGCAATTGAAATATCCGCGTATTCAAGATGAGGCAGTCCGTGACTAACCATCTTGGGCAGAGAACAGCTGAGAGCCAAGAAACAGCTCGAAACTGGTTTTTGTGCCGACAACTTGTTGCCAAATGTCAATAAAACTAATGTTGAAACGCTCAGGGAAATAATACTCGAACGAACAATAGCAAAAAATAAAACCAAACAAACTCGCAACTCAGCTAAGACTGAAGCTGAAGCTGGATCTGAATCTGAGTCTGACTCGGAGTCTGAGGCGTAGGAGCAGATCTGAGCGGGGCTACAATAACAAACGGCAAATAGCCAACGACAACTGACGAACATAAATAAATGCCAATAAATGGCAGCGATGACAAAAGTCAAATCAAACCAAAAAAAACCAAACCAAAGCAGAGTGAAGCCAACGAAAACTATTGAGTAACAACTTAAAATGTGTAAAGGTCAGACCTAGAGAAATGGCAACAGCCAACAGGAAACTAAAAGCTATATAGTTGGAAAGCAACGAATTATAAATGCTCTTTTCAATGTTTATATAAATAAAGTATTACTTTACAGGTTTTATGGTTTAAAGTTTTTGTTTTTAATTTGTAAATATAATAAACAACATTTTATAAAAATGTATAAAGATAATACACATCTATGGCTATCTATCTACCAAAAAATGTTAAATTTAAAAAATGTATCAAAGAAAAAATAATATTATTTTATTAAAAATCAATAATTTTACCATTTCAAAGTGAAAAAAGCTTTAAAATACATTTTTTCAATATTCTAGGTTATGATTTTCTGTTTTTCTAAAAGTTTCTTTAGTAAAATTGCCATTTATATACTTAAAGCACATTTTTAACCCTAATAATGTAACTAAATATTTAATATAAATAATAAAATAAAGAGTAAGAAGCGTTTCCTTTTACAAATATTATTTATTAATTCGATAAAACAGTCAAATTTAGTAGTGTCTTTCGTGAAAATGTATTATCAAATTTATCTAATCTTCAGAGAACTTTTTCTCAACATTAAAAAATGATTCCCACTTAACACCGACTTGTTCCTGCTGTTTTTTATGAATTTAAAAGCACCCACTAGTTCGAGCAACTGAAGCAATCATGTCTAATTATAATCCTACGTGTTCTGGTGATGTCATCTATAGGTCAGCCTGCTGTCTCAAAGTTTATTAGCTTTTTTTTTTAACTCGAAATTGAAGCCTCAAGTATGCCCAATTTTAGACACACCCCATCTATCTTTCGATTCCCACGGACAAACCAATGTACCCCAAAAACATTTTTGTGAAGAGGTGGAAGTTAAGCGACCAAAGAATTGCCTTTGTCATGGTCGAGTTTTATACTTTTTTTTTTTATACAAAGAAAAGCAAGCTGAGTGCCGCTCCAAAGACTTTCACTGCTTTTAATGACAAAACAGAGCTGCAAAATAAAATGAAATTTGCAATGGGGGAAAAAAACAAAAAAAGAGCAGCGCGAATTTGATATTTTTAAGCATTGAGTAATTGAGCGTGTTGTGGTCATTGGGTGATTGTCATTATTATGATTATGATGGCCGCGTTGTTGTTTCTCGATATTTATATTTTTAGTTGCCAACGGCTGTCACACACACACACAAACATATCGAGACGCATTAGCACGCACACAACCAAAAACGAAAGACTTAAGCAACGAACTCGCATTGCCAGCTTCGACTTAATGATGACTTTGAATCCGAAACATTTAAGCCGAGCACGCAGCAAATTATAATCATTAATTTACACCTGGCTGACACTTAATCCATAATTAAAAGAGCTGCGCCCGCCCCAAAAAAGGCGCCAAAGCAGTTAGTTCTTCTTTTTTGCCAGGTGGCAAATCACAAAAACCAATGACGAATGCAATTGCAGAGGGAAAACTTGAAGAAATGTAATATAGAAAGCCGCCAGAAGGAACGGTAACTGTAGCACACGCACCGCAAAGCGAAAAGTGGTAATAAAAAAACTTAAAAAACGTACAAAATGTATTGCCGCGCCGACAGAAAATATTTCAATAACGTAAATGGTCAAGAAATCAAATCGTACTGAGACCGACGAGGCAAAAAGGTAAACAAAAACGCTGCCAAAGGTACAAAACAAAAATGTTGAGACGCTCGCCAGAGCAACGGGCTCTCTTGTTAACTTATTTTTTTGTTTTTTACCTGCTTCTCTTTCTCTCTCTGGCAACTTTGTTGATAAACTAAAAATCTAAAACAAAGGGGGCTTGGCTTTTGGGGAGGAGACAGGTAAGGAGCAGCGGAGGGGAACACTTCAGACAAGCGAAGCGCGCGCCTTGTGATAAACGCCGCTAATGAAGATGATCATGATCACCAAAGCAGCACCTGTAATGATCAAAGAGAGTGGCAGGTAAGAGAGCCACAAAGAGTGTAACCACAAAGAGCCATTTACACAGAGAGAAAGGGTTTTATTGACCTTTACGTGACAGTTTTTTTGAGCTTTAAACACCATTAAATATTTATAATTAATGACTTTAAATGGAGAGTAACACTATTTTCATTGCAAGAAATTTTGTGAGGTGTCGCAAACATGGAACATACTTTTTCTAGTCACTTTCACTTCCTAAATTTTTTATTTTTTTAAATAATTTAAAAAAATATATATATTTTGAATATAATTATATTCTCTCTTTAGGTAAATATTGAATCTACTTTGTCCTAACTAAAAACTATTAAACAAAATTAAATATTTACAGTTCCTATAAAAAAAAAATATAAATGAAAACCACTTTATAGCCTAGAAACCATTAATAGATTTTTAAATGTTTTACTTTTTATAACCTATTTTTTTTAAATATTCAAAATTATTTATAAATATAATGATTACATATTATTTAATAAACTTTAAGGTTAAAAATCTTTATAGATATTATTTTCCTTTAGAATTGTAAAATATAAAAAATAAAAGACAACTTTTAGACCTAGAAACCTTTAATAGATTTTCAAATTTTTTAGCTTTTTGAAACCTATATTACTTAAAATATTTAAAATAATTTATAAAAATAATGCATAAATATTATTTAATAAACTTTAAGGCTAAGAATCATTGGAAATATTATTTTTTTTTTAATTTTAACGTTTAAACCCGTTAAACATTTTTATAATAATGTTATCTTTTTTCCACGTGTAAACAAAAAAAAAACAAAGCCCCACGAAAAAAAACCAGTTACAACAACTGTTGTATATTTTAATGATGTTGCTGGTGTTGTTGTTGTTGGTATTGCTTTAGACTCGGCTTTGGTGTTGCTACTCAAGTGTCGAAGGTGGAGGTAAAAAACTGCGACGTTGACAAAAGCAAAAGCCAAAGCAAAAATTAAATGCCAAGCATAAATTTGCTAAGCTCAAACGGCAGTCACTGCAACAACAACAACAAAAACTACGGCTCAAATTCCGCTGGCAACCGCAAAAGTATGCTGCGAAATAATTTGTATTAATTAACGATAATATTTCAACTTTTCCACCAAAACAACAAATTGCAAGGGGAAAACTCAAGCGAATAAAAGCGCAAACAACAAACAAGTTTTTCATTTATTTTTCCAAACGATGCAAATGACAAAACAAACTTTTCTGGCATCCAAAACATTAACATGCAACGCCAAATTGAAAAGCAAAAACCGATCGTAAACAAAGCGCTTTTATTTGGCTTTTGCCAAGTAAAGTCCCCTCCCCCAACTCCTGCTCTTGCTCCACCCAATACCCGGGATGCAGTCATTGCGCCTCTGGCAATGCGAGCGCCAAAGAAAGCCAAATAAATAAAGCAATACAGCGGAAGATGAGTCCCCGCCACAAAAAAAGAGGTCACCACATAGAGATAATTGAATACCCTGGCGTATAATTAATTGATTTACTAGACAAGATTTTATAAAGTCATTTTTAAGACAAAAAGCTAACAATAAACAGGGAACTTTAAAGATATTAAAGTATATAAACTTGACAAGGCACTTCTCTATGTATTATTTTATAAAGCAAAGGCTTTAAGAAATTAAATTATATTTTTTTAATATATTAATTTATTATTTATCAACTTGTGAATAATTTATTTGCTTTAAAAACAAAGCTCAAAGTAGTAATAAAGCTGTAAAATTTAAATAAATATATTTTTATTTTAAATAAATATGTTTTAAGTAAAAAAAAAGTCTAGTTTCTTATTAAATCAATATAAATAAAATACATTAAAATATTTTTAGTCTTTCCAAATCAGAAAAACTCTTCTGCAAAGCACCCATCATCATCCATATACCCTCCCTTGTAAGCTATAGAGTATGCAACTAAGCTAAAATATAAATCATAGAAATTATGGCCAACGTAGAAGAAGCAACAAGAGGGGGCAAGGCAGCAATTTTCCATTTCATATCAAAAACGCCTCAAGGAGGCACCAAGCCAAGCCAACAAGACAGAGAAAGGAAAATGAAAAGTGGCCGAAAAAAAAAAAAGAAAACTCAAGAGTCCCACAGCAAAGGGGGGGAGAGGAGCTTGGAAAAGAGGACTGGGGTGCACTTCGGACTGCTGCCTACTGGAAAAACTCGTTTACATACAAATCGTGGTGATAAAGCTGGCCATACGCGCGCCCAAGAACTCGAAAGAGCCGCCGCGCTGCGTCCGCGGTGGAATACGGACTCCGGCTGGGTCTATAACGCCGGATCCGGCATCAGTTCTCATTCCGGATCGAGTACGGGCACGTGGGCGGGGCGGGGGTGGAGGGGCTGCATATTGCACCATGCAGTTCCGTTTGTTTCAGTGTAAAGTGTAAGTGTTATCAGTTTTTGTTTAATATGTTGCAGTGTTTTTGTTTTTTCAGTGTGTATATTGCAGTGTTTTTTCCAGCAATTTTCCATATTTTCCAAAAAATTTTAGTGTTATCAGAATTTTGAAAAGGTTTTCCAGTATTTATCGTATGTTTTAATAGGTGTTTTTAGTTTTTTGTAGTGTTTTTAGTGTTTTCCAAGAATTTTAGTGTTGATCAACAGTTTTTCGTGTTTCAAAAGTATTTTTAGAAATTAAATCGTGTTATTTTCATGTTTATTATTTTTTAAATATTTTTAACATGTTTCATTGTCATCATTTTATAATTAAACACCGAAAAATGGTAGAAAAAGTCATAAAATATATAGGAGAAAGAGAATTACAAGTAGAAGAAAGGGAAGTAGAGGAAGAAAAAAGTGTTGAGGAAAAATTACACAGAGAAAGACCAACGACATGGAGTCATCATAAATATACAAAATGTGTACATACATAAACAAACAGAGATACGAGGTATACAGGTAGACAGGAAAAGAAAAAAGAAACAAACGTCAGGAAAAAAAAAGTGTCCAGTAAAAAAGTCTTTAAACGAAACGCAAGTCATAAAAAAACTGGAGAGAGGAGAGGGGAAAAAACGATCTTAAAGATATGGTTTAAACGAATGTTTCAATTGAAAAGTGCTTGGTGCGTTGTGAGGTGCGTGTAATGGTTATGATGTGATGTACCTAAGGTGGCAGCGATTCGATTGGTTCAACTAAACTAGCCATAAAATTGATAATACTATTAGGAACTTCATAACTAAGACCATCCTATTATCTACTCTGTTTCAATAAATGGGATATAAGCCAGCTAAAGTGATAAACATTGAAGTAAGGTATAGAAAAGCATTTGAGAAATGATTGTAAAATAAACTTTGCTCTAAGATTTTCTATAAAATACATAGAAAAGCTCTTTCTCTTAAAGATATTATTAAATAATATCCTTATTACACTCACTTTTTATATTTATTTCCCCTAAAAGCCTAGTAAAAAAAACTCTAAAACAAACCAATAAAAAAGATTGTGCGTCCACAAATCGCCTGCTAAAAATAATAACATTATACACACACCGGTAATAAAAGCTATCTGATTCATATTCGCAACTGGCAATTAAGTCATATCAAAATCTTTTTTTGCACAGACGATGGAAAACTAACGATCCGAGGGGAAAATGCAGCAGCCCGCATTCACTGGAGGATGGGGAGGAGGCTTGGCTATGGTGTCTCTTTTTTTAATTAATTCAATTATCAAAACAAACGTTTATTGACTTTGATCCCAGTCCCGTATGATGATGGGTACGTCACGACATCAATTTCCAAGTCTAACGACTCGAGTTTTACGTTTTACAGCCGATGCGTTTTGGGGGAAAATTGCCTCCAATTAAGAGGAGTAAACAAAGAGACAAGGGGATGCATTGAGATGAGAGGTGGATTGGCTTGATGACAACAAACTTGACAGACCGAAAAAAAGAAAAACCGAAAGAAACTGAAAATGCAATGCCAGAGGAGACATAGTTTCAGGGGAAATCCCGTTGCCGGTTGGGGAAACACTCACCTTCCGATGGTGCCAGCATATTGACAAAGTTATCGGGAAAGACACCCACTTTGCCCCGGATCTCGCCACGCCACCATCCCTTATCCGGCAGCTCGGTGCTGATCACTGTGATGATATCGCCCACTTTCAGTTCCAGCTCATCATCGTTCTGGGGGGCATAGGGGAACTCCACCCGGCAGAATTCCCTCTGGGGCTTCGGTGGCAGCATGGGAACACCAGCGCCGGCTGCACCCGTTCCGATAGCTGATCCTATGGCCGCTGGTTCCGCCACCGATGGAGCTGATGTGACTGCTGCTGCCGCTGTGCCTCTGCTCCTGGTCGATTGCTTCGATGTTGTTGTTGTTGTCGTTGTGGCAGTGCCGGCTGTGGTTGTGCTGCTGCTGCTGCTACTGCTGCTGGCTATATTGACCGCCTTGGCCGTTAGGGATGATGTGGTCACCGTGGCGCCAATTGTTGGCGGCCGTTTGGAGGCCAAAATAGGAGACGGCTCGATATGTTGCACAAAGTTTGAAGGGAAGACGCCGACTTTGCTGCGAAGACGACCGCGCCACCAGCCTTCCTCGACCTAAATGGGAATGAATCCGAAAGCCAAGTGGAACAATGAGTGAAAATAACAGACCAAGCCGAGTGTAATGCACTGAGAGAAATGCAAAGGGTTCTTTTACAAGCAAAGCTCATAAAACAAAAGTTTTAAAATAAGTAAATAGAATAGTTTATTATTTAGAGGTTGTAAATTTCTCATTTAAATATAAAAACCTTCTTTGCTTTCTCTCAGTGCTTTACGAATTTCAATTTCTATTGGCCCAATAGGTTAAATGGGGGTAGCAGGCAACACCCACCCCCCCTGGGTTGACCCTGTGTGTGTGTGTGTACGCACCTCCCCTAGGAATTCAATGACATCACCCACGGCCAGCGTCAGCTCGTCGTCGTTGACTTGTGTGTAGCTATAGATGACTTTGCAGCGGCGGTTGGAAGTCGCGGATTTGTCCCTGAATTGGCGGAAAATAGAGAGAGAGACAGAAAAAAACATGTAAATTCTAGGAATTGCGTCATTAAAATTAAATCCAAAAGGAACGAACCTCAACTGGACAGATGTTCCCTCGTCACTGTGGTCTGCACTTCCATTTCCATTGCCATTGCTGCTGATGTTGGAGTCCAAAACACGAACAAAGTTATCCGGAAACATACCCGTGACTCCGTTGGACTTCAAAGTGCCCTGCCACCAGCCGCCGGGCATCTGCTTGATTCGATGGATAATGGCACCTTTCTGGAGATCCAGCTCGTCCGGCTCCTTGGCCGCGTACTCGTATTCAACTATTGCACAAACTGAAAGGGAAGAAAAAGATTTATATGAATTATATTTTGGAAAATTAATATTTTGGATATTTCCTATGAAACTATACATTTGCTGAGAAAGCCATTCTAAAATATTTCTTCGCCAGAAATCGCACAGAATAACTTGCACAATTATGGCATACACACATGACATGTACAAATATTTACAATCGTATCGGGTTACACAACATTTAACCTACTCTAACATCCCATTCATCCCCATACCCCACCAAAACGTGACATTCGCCTTTTGCTTTTTCCCCCCCATTTTTGTATTTTTGTGCCGCTGAAAAAGTAAAAGTTACATGACACTCCATGTACGGTCTGGGAATAACAATTTATGTCGTGGGCGATGACAAATCACGAGTCTCCAACGAGACATCCTATCCATCAATAAATCAAACAATCTTTCATGATGTATATGGGTCACTTGGTTGGCAGTTGAGAGACTCTATTCTATATATTAGGGTAAGGTGGGGTAAAGACGACCTAGTAAATGGTTTTGGCTATAAAATGCTTATTTTACGTCGGATCAAGTCGTTATATATACCAAATTAAAGGTTAGACCTTTGCGCAACTTTCTATGCATAGCATTTTATTCATACCTTTGAAAAGTTTTGAGATACAAGCGTTTTACGAAAAAGTTCATTTTTGCTATGTTCAAAAATGATGGGGTAAACCCGACCGCCTATGTTTTTGGTTGATTTAGTACAGATATAACCTAAATATAGGTTTTGCAATGATAAGTCAATCAATGTTATGTTATTTAATGGTAATAAAAGAAAAAAGAATTAAAAAAATTAAAATAGCAAAATAATTAATCAGTATCATCTGATTCGCTGCTCAAATAGCTTGCTGGCGTTTTTTGGTTCGAGTTGAACGTCTGGTTGGCTGCGATGTTGATGGTTTTGGTGTGATTGTTGTTTTTTTTGGATTTTTTGCGGCAGGATTTACCCCACTATTTAGAGGTCGGATTTGCCCCACCACGTAATTTTTCATAAAAACGCAATTAAAAAAGAAATTATGAAAAAAAATGAACCAAACTTATATGCACTTTGTAGGACTTTATTCAAAGAATCTAAATCCACTTACCTTTTCATGCGATAACTTTGACAAAAAGAAATATCCTGCAGTTAATTATGCACAAAAATGAAAGTCAAAATTGTGAAAACAAACTTGTCGTCGTTTGACCATCTCAATGTTGACTAATAAAATGGTGTCATACCACCATTTTCATTGTTTTCGATGCTCTACACGACAACACTAATATTATTTTGCGTAGTGCTTCCTATTTTCGAAAACAGAGGGGGGTCGGGTTTACCCACACTGTCGGCTTTACCCCACCTTACCCTAAGTGGAAGTAAAGTGTGGTATCCACTTTAAAAATTAACAGAAGGCTACAATAAAAGTCGTGAAGGGAGATGAGGGTGTCAAAAATCTAGATTATAAATCTAATATTATTTACATAAATTAAAAGTGACAGGGTTTCAAGGCTAGACTTGATTTATGTGCATTTTTGATAAACTATTTTCATATTTTTAATGAAAAAAAGTAAAAACAATCGCTTTAAATATCTCCCTTAAGTTATACAGAAACTTATAGATAAATATACGTTTTAAAATTTAAACCTGAATTTACTAAATCCCTTAAAACTAGTCTTTAAAAGGCTTTCCATAAACACATACCCACTTTCATCTTCATCTGCAGCCCAAACAGAATTCAATTTGTCATGACGCATACATATATTGAAAACAATAAGAGCATCATAACTGACTGAGGCACAACAAAAACCAGCATTATAAACTATATTTATACCAAGTCACAGAAGGCGACAGCTTGACGCTACAAGCCAACAAATTTAAATAGCAACAATGTTCAACTTATTTGGCTTTGGAGGTTGCTGCCCCCGCACGATTGACTCAGTTTATATTATTTATCTCTCTCTCTATTTTTTTTTTATACCAAGTGCTTGTCGTGTCCAATTTTTTGATGGCTTGTGTGAGTGATGGAAATACCCTATAGCTAAAGTGTTCAGGTTGTCTTAGAACCTTTTCTACCAAATGAAACGTATAAAGAATGAGTATCGATGGCTCTTCACGGCATAAATACATTGGAAACGCTTATTGGCTTAGGCCAAAGAAAAAAACACGAAAGAAAACATAACAATAAATTCCTCGGCAACAACATACGTGATGTTGGTTAATTTTTACAGCTCAAACACTTTATGTGGGTCAGTTATATTCTGGGGGAATTGCGTTTCTGCTACTCTACTTCACGTAACATATAAGAATTCTACTACTCCACTTCACGTTCCATCTGGGGAATTATGAAATAAATAGAAAACCAAAGAAGAGGCTTGGATGGCAAGTGAAAAGTATCATAATAAACTACATTTTTCAGGGTCTTGGGACTTATTTAACACTAAATTAAAGAAGATCTTTGGGACTTTTCTAGAAATTTAAACATCAAGTTAATATATTAGTCTCTTTTCCTTCTCAAAATGTAGAAATTGTCACTGTTAGACAACATTTTAATGGGTGTAAAAATCATCCATTGAAGCTGATCTCTTGATGGCATTAAAGCCTCACAAAATGCTTTCCATTTTCCACGCTCGTTTCAAATCAGCTCTTAACATTTCTTTTAATGACGCCATTGGATGAGGGGGGCCACCAGCATTGAAGTGGCTGCTGCTGCTGCCAATCGAATCCAAAGCCGTTTCGTCAAGAGCGAATAATAATAATTTCACTTTGGTCGCCGCAGCTCCAGTTTGAGTTCCAGTTCCCCAAGAGCAAGAGCCCCAAGCCGAACCCGAGCCTGTGTCTGAGATCCGGGCGATGAAGTGGCAAAAGTGCTGCAGCGAAAAGCTAAAGCAAACGCAATAACCAAAGTCAGACGAAACGTCAAATGTCTTTAAAGAAAAGCCTGAAAAATGACAGCTAGAGATGGCACCCGGATTCATGTTTTTCAAGGTTTCTAAGAGGGAAAACTCTGTGACAAACTCTGTGCATAATTTGAGAGGAAAGATCATACTAATTTTTATATTTTCTTTAAGGGGGTTTCCTGAATTAGGAGGCAAAAAAAATCGATTTTTTTTTTATTGCTTAAAACGATAGATAAACTATCTAAGAACATACCACAAAAATTTCAGAAGCCAATTCGAAGTATTTTCGAAGATACAGAGATGAAAGCAAAGGAGCGCCGAGCAGGTTTGCAGGCGCTTGGTGAACTTTGAAGCGCGTTTTCTCCACTTCTCATTTTCGAATTGGCGGGAATGATAACTAAAAAACTTATTGACCGATTGAAACGAATAAAGGCTTATTCTCTTTAGAATTAAATTCTCTTCTAAATAGACTAAAACGGTTGTTGAAAACCGCTTTTTATATTTTTTACAGCATGTTAAAGTCAATATTTTATCCCGAAAAATGCAATATTGACTTTAACATGCTGTAAAAATATAAAAAGCGGTTTTCAACAACCGTTTTAGTCTATTTAGAAGAGAATTTAATTCTAAAGAGAATAAGCCTTTATTCGTTTCAATCGGTCAATAAGTTTTTTAGTTATCTTTCCCGCCAATTAGGAACTGCTGTGACGAGGCGCTTCAGTGAACTACTTATAAGTCCGCCATTTTGAAATTTTTTTTTTTTTAATTTATTTAAGCGCTTTAAATATATATTAAAATATACCAAAAATTGCAAGAAGCTTGGTCGTTTCTTTACCTTCCAAAAAAAAATGCGAAAAACAACTAATTTTTGGCCTCCTAATTCAGGAAACCCCCTTAATATCTAAACTTTAGATTCTAAAGAGTAATCTCAAAAAATGTATAACAAATTTATACTTTTTAAACAATTTTATTTCTTTCCTCTTTGTATTTCTAAATAATTTTTTTATTGCAACACCTCGTGACACGCTATCATCTCCATTGAGTGCCAATTTGTATCTAGGCCAGCCGGCAGTCTCAGCCTCACTGTTTAACCTACGCGCGACGGCAAAAGGCAAACAAAGCGACAGCCAAATGAACCTTTAATGCGGTTTTTGTTTTTCAAACTTTTTCATCTTCCTGCTTTACGATTTGTTGCCGCTTTTCTCTTTGTTTTTCTTTGTTTTTCTTTATTTTTCTTTATTTTTTTTCACTCATATGCGCGAACGATGGGTACGCTTGAATAACAATAATAACCGACCACAGAATGGAGGAGAATGTGTTGAAAGAGGGACCCAAGAATGGGCGGCATGCAGCAGCGAAATGAGCCTCATCTGGAAAAGCGTCACTTCAAGAAATTACATCAATTTTGACTCTAGATAAATTGATTTTTAATAAGAATATACTATGATGTTTAATATTTTTTCAAATATTTAATAATATTTTTTAAAAGATTTTTTGATTCTCAAGACAACAAACATAACAAAATAACAAAATCATAATCATCATCATAACAAAACCTATTTTATATATCATATTCTATATTCTATTTAAAACTCTTTAAATCTCACTAAAAATTCATAATTAAAATGGTTTTTTTGTAGTGTGAAAAACTGTTGAAAAGCCGCAGCCACCAACTGATGGAAAGCGAGGAAACGCAGCCCCGAGTCGCAATCGTGTGAAAAGCCTGAGCCGAGAGAGCCGAATGGGAAAACCAAATGTGTAAATGTGTCAAAAAGCGGAGAAAATCGCATGACAGCAGCGCCGTCGTCATGGTTTTGTGGGTGGACTTGCCTTTGCACTCAGCAAATAATGCAATATCAGTGATCGTTCCGATCAGATCGGGTTTTGTGTTGTGAAGTCGTCGGTCGTCAGTCGTCAGCTTCCTCAATGTCAAACAGCACATCATGTATGACATAAAGATATGCAAATCAGTTACTGGATAGTTAAATATTATGGCCCGAAAACAGGTTAAGGTGTGAGGGCCTATAACGAGCGGTCAAAAAGATAATTTGAGCATTTCCTAACAATACATATTTTTGTTAGGTCAAAATACTATGAAATACTTTAAATA